ACTCGACATGCTTTGAGAGTTTGTTCACAGATAAAGAACTTATCGCCCCAACAGAGCCATCTGAGCTGCATGTGGGACATGCAATAGCGCCATACACGGAAAGGGTTCATTGTCAAATTTGACACTTCAAGGAAGGGTTGATGAAAACTGCCGCTTGCTGGTTTATCCTATCCATGTTTGCTTTCCTATCGGTTCTTACATAAGATTTACTGTTTAGCGTATCTGTGCTTTAGTGTGTTACGTTTAATTTGATCGGGAGACGTGTTCGTCGACGTCAACACTGCAAGAATTGGCCGTAGCATTGCAAGAGGAGTGGGTCAGATTGCCCCAAATCGTGATTGGACGGTTAATTAGGAGCATGCCACGACGAATTGCTGAATGTCTGAGGATTGGTCAAGCAATTATTCATTATTAAGACAAAAATCAAAAACGTCCATTTTCCATTTTGACGGTGTATCTCTTTGCGAATGAAATGGGGCCGTCAGATAAGCCGCCCATATGAACTGTTTATGTTCATGTGTAGGCAATTGGCCTGTTTTTAACATACACTGGTTACCTCTAATAAAAACAGCAGTGCATTTCCTCAGTTTTTTTTATTGTTTCTGAATATCCCCTACATTTTTTTGAAGAGTATATATAATGTTGACTGTATTATGGGAGTCACACGGCTAAGTGGGTAAGACGCTGGCTCACTAGCCTAGAGGTCATGTGTTCGATTCCTGCATTAGCCGAGAAAATTCATAAGGATTTTTTGGTGTGTTTCCCTTTGTCAGTGGTGCAGGATGGAGGGGCTAACAAGGACAGCTGTCTAGTTGTTCGAATGGGATGAAAAATCAAGGTCCTGTGTATACATGGGCGTGCATGTAAAATATCCCTTGGCAATTTGAATTTGATATAAGTGTAGACCATAGTGCCACTGCCCGGGCAAAATTTCCCTCATAGCACACTGTTATGGCGTATGCCCGCCTTCATTAGCCCAGTCGGAGCAGAACAGTAGGACGTTAAACCCCATTTCATTTCTGACTGTATTATGATATATCACGATTGATATAATTCTATACACAGCAATTACGTCTGCATGTTTCTTCCCTGAGGATTATAAACTATTTTAAGTTTAGAGCACAAGTGAATAATTGAGTGAAAAGCCTTTCAGTATTTTATATAGTTGTATAAATACGACAGTAAATTGCATTGTGACGTGTCAGTTCCTGTAGCTATATATATATTATTATTGTCAATATTATTAACATCCTTTTTTACCTGTACATTGTTTACCTGTACAGTGCTTATATCCATGGATAGTTGTGAATATGAAATCAGGTAATGGATCCAATACAATTCGTCGCATTTCTGATGAACCAACGAATCTGATATATTTAAGTATTGAGAATTATCTGTTGTTATCTCTGTAGCCATCAAATAATAACATGTATGTAAATGGCGTTCGGTGTCCTGATGTATATGTATGAAATATTAAGTCACAAATAAATGTTATTATTTGATGGCTTCAAGATAACAACAGAACGCAAATTTCAAACACATAATTCTCAATACTTAAATATATCAGATTCGTTGTTCACCAGAAATGCAACGAATTTATCTATGATCGTATTGACTGCATGTATTTCATATATTTCATTAAGTGCGTGATTGCTTGTGAATCATGAATTCCATTTGTTTGTACTGCTTGCTGACCTATTGAAAGTGAACAATTACCTAGCTACAGTGATCTCCTAGCCTTAGCCGACTTAAAATTCTCTCTAATATCCCCAAAATCGTGAATATTGTTTGTTTGTATGGCTTGTATGTAAACTGAGCAGTTACGGACTTGAAGATCACCCTAATGTTCCCGCAAAAATGGTAGAACTGCCATATTCTCTTACTTGTTGATATAGATTTCAACATATCCTTGCTCCTATTTATCCAATAAATCCTTGCTCCTATTTAGCAATAAATTCTTGCTCCCATTTAGCTAATATATTCTTGCTCCCATTTAGCAATAAATTCTTGCTCCCATTTAGCCAATATATTCTTGCTCCCATTTAGCAATAAATTCTTGGCATCATCCAATAAGTAAACAGTAAGTGCAGAGAGAGAGAGAGAGAGAGAGAGAAGGAGAGGGAGAGGAGAGAGAGATTAATGTCCACAACATGAACTGAGAGAGAGAGAGAGAGAGAGAGAGAGAGAGAGAGAGAGAGAGATTAATGTCCACTCAACATGAACTAAGTCATTTCAGGACTAACATATGCAGAAATAGTCCAAGACTGATAGAAATCAAATCAAGTGAAATGAAATGGGGTTTAACCTCCTACTGTTCTGCACAGAATAATAATTGTCAAGGCTTCTTTAGTGTGCACTACATCCAGTACACATGCAGACCTAAATCTTTTTGTTCCATCCAAAAAACTAGACAGCAACACTTTCAATGGGAAACAAGACTAGGAAACTGACCAATATGAAGATCGAATCACTGTTCTGATTATAATCAATAAAGGATTCCATTAATATAAAATATTTATAGCACAGCAATAAACACAGCACTAAATAACTATAATAATGATGCATTTATTGAGCCTTAATCCCAAGCCCTTTAGTTGTCTGTCCATCTATGCTAGTATATTTATAGGTTGCTTAAAGTCCAAGACATGATGCTGACCATCCCACATTAATATAATAATTTTATAAGATAATTTAATCTTCTTTCATTGCTGGGGGGTTGGATGGTCAAATGGTTAGCATGTGTCCGTTGTATCATAAGATCTGTCAGTCAACTAGCGTGGTTTTGATTCCCCAGTTGTACGTGACAAAGAGTAGGGTCGCCTGTCCAACCTTGTGAGTTTTCTCCGAGTCCTCCGGTTTCCTCCCACTGCTAAAGACCCCTACACACAAGCGAATTATTAAAATAAAATTGAACCATGTGTTATTCCCGAAATGACCTACTCAACATTAAACTCCATTTCTCTCTCTCTCTCTCTCTCTCTCTCTCTCTCTCTCTCTCTCCCTCTCTTTGATTGAAACAATGATAATAAAACCTTGGTGAATTTTAAAATAAAGGTGGTTTGTTTTTTGCAGCTTTGGTTTAATTGTTTCTTACCTGTATCAATAGATTATAGATTAAATATGAATAATACCTAGGTGAAATTTATATGAAAGATGTTTTTGTCTATTTTGGGTTTGTTTCATCTCCTGTAGATCAATTAATTGGATCATCTATAGATTAAAATTTACCTGTATGAATTAGTTAATAAAATAGAGCCATCATCCTTACCTGTATTTATCAATTAATTATATCATCAATAGATCAAACCATCTTCTCTGATCCTTGACTTTATATATATAGACCTTGCTGACATATCCTCTGTATATAGATTGAACGAGGACTGTCACCCGGCAGGTATATCGTCAGCCTGTGAACTCACTCACACCTCGACTAACTGATAACCCTATGGAGTGTGACAACCATTTCTCCAACATCCCACTTTCTTTACCTTGACAAGTTTATTGTTCACTCGACCGTGTCCTTTATTGTGACACCTCATGCATGACTGTTGTTCTTGTTTTATGCTATAGACGAGGATCGATTAGTGTGTAATAGCCTCCCGCTGTCAACAGTGAGTCGCTAAGGACTCTTTCTCACTAGTGGAAGAACATGTTGACCTGATTTGTTGTCTTTTGTTTGTATTCATACATTAATTAAATGATTATATTGATTTTTTTTTTATTGTGTTTTTATTTTTCTATGGAGATACAATGATTCAAGGTTGTATAGGAATATTTATATATTGAACTATAATGTTCGTGCCATTTTCTCCCACCACTCCCTCAATGATGGAATTCACTTCCTTAAAATAGAATTTCTTCCAACGAAAAATGAGGATTCACTTTTACTACAAAAACAAAAACATGAGATTCCCCCGAAATAGAATTCAATATTTCTTCAAAGAAAGGATTCAATCGTTAAATATAGAAATCAATACATCTTCATAGAATGAACTCACCCCCTTAAAATAGAAGTTAACGAAGGGCCAAACCCTAGTTTAAGCCTTGACGTTTTGTCGATAGATTATAATGCAGTGTATCTCTGATATGCATGAGCTAAACTTTCAGATGATGCCATGCTGACATCCTTGGAAGATCATCGAAAATGGCTGCCAATAGGCATTTATCTGGTTATTACCTCATGCTGAATTGTCGCTAGGGTGATCGCTGTGATGCTGAATTGTCGCTAGGGTGATCACCATCAATGACTATAATATATTTGATTACAATATTATCAGTAAGTACATATCACATGCTAATATGACAAAAGGAAGCAAGACAAATCATAAAAATTACTCAAGGTTGCTGCCATTGACCCTTAAAATATGCCTATCTCCTTGAAATATGACTCACTGAATTTTTTAGTTATCTTATCACCCTTGGCTTTCATAATGCTATGACAGATCAGGACAATAATCACTAGAATTACAAGCCAGTTACGCCAACGACTATGTCTTGACTATATTTTGTATTTTGACTATATTTTGACTTATGGTTTGTATTTGGACTATATCTTGACTGAGTTTTGTTCTTTAAGAGCTGTGTCTCTAACCATCACCTCCGATTGCATTTTGAATATAATTTGTCCATACATGTATTTCGTATTTATCTTGACAATGTTTTGTATTTTGATTATATTTTGGCTATGTTTTGTATTTTGACTGTGTTTGTTTGACCTCTGATTGCATTTTGACTATTATTTGTATTTTGACTATATTTCGTATTTATTTTGACTATGTTTCATATTTTTTTTGACTGTATTTTGTATTTATACTATATTTTGTATTTATACTATATTTTGTATTTATACTATATTTTGTACTTTTACTATATTTTGACTGTGGTTTGTATTCTGACTTTATGTTTTGTATCTTGACTATGTTTTGTATCTTCACTATGATTTGCATTTTGACTATATTTTGTATTTTGACTGTATTTTGACTGTGTTTTAATTATTTCAGGGAGGAGAAGTCAGAAGATGTAGTATATGAATGGCAGGGGTATTTTGGTGATATCAATCTCAACACATTTCCAGTATTCCATGGAAAAAAAATCCTCAAAGTATCTGTAGGGGACAGTCATGCCCTTTTTTTGACGTCTGAGCACCATGTGTATGGATACGGCAAGAATGATCGGGGACAGGTCGGGATTCCTGATGAAGAATTTTATCAACAACCACAAATAATTGACAGTCTTTCAGGTAATCTTATCACTTCCTGGATTGGGGTCATCCAGAGGTCTGGGTGCATTCAGCTAATCTTATCACTTCCTGGATTGGGGTCATCCAGAGCTCTGGGTGCATTCAGCTAATCTTATCACTTCCTTTGTTGGGGGTCATCCAAATATCTTATCACTTTCGGGTCGGGCTCAATCAGATGCCTAGTCATTCTGATTGCCTGAAAAAAATACAAAAATATAGTTGTTATTATTATTGGCAGTTGGAATTTGAGTAAGAGTATACAACAGATGCTGTTGTCTGATCCAAATTTCTCTTAGTCGCAGCACATTGCAAGGGTATGCAAGGTCTGGTCAGGTGGGTAATTCAGGTCTGATAAAAGGGTATTGGATGATTCAATACCTCCAAATTAAGGATCCTGTAGCGGTATCAGGTTGATTTCTAAGAATGATAGACGTAAGGAAGCTGTCCAGGTAAATGTCCAACTTGCTGTGATGTTTTTGACAGGGGTGTGACGACGAGTGTGTAATTACTTTCCAACAAACACTTGAGGATGTTGAGGATGCCGCAGACGCACAATCTGATTAAAACACAGATCCTATTTCGTTTCTTTTTTTATAGTTCGAAATTTCGTTTTATTTGTCTTTACTACACTAGGATCTGGAAGAGTTGATATGTAACCCGCATTCTGATTGATGTGACGGATTAGCCAATGAAACGATCTGTTACGGTGACTTCTTGCCGTGCTGTCCACGGAACTGTGGGTATTCCACTGGAACCATCAACGCTGATTGGTTAATCAGATGTCTGATGTCATAGGTTCAAAAGCTGCTCGTATGACCCTTGATGCGACCTTCCAATACAACGGGTCAGATGTTCATGTAGTAGAGGCCATCAAAGGTATAAAAAAACCGAAACGAAATATAGATCTGTATTTTAATCAGATTGGTTGGCAAAGAAAGTCCCTCTGGATTATTCTCTGTCAGTGGTTCGGGGAGTTGGATGGCCGAATGGTTAGCGCGTGTGCGTTGTATCATCAGGTCTGTCATTGAGTCAACTGACGTGGTTTCGAATCCCCGGTTGTATGTGACAAGGATAATGGTCGTCTGTCCAACCGTGTGGGGTTTTTCTTCCAGTCCTCAGGTTTCCTCCTACCCTTTAAGATCTCTACGCGCAAGTAAATTATTGAAATATAAATTAAATGTTGATCCCAAAATGACCTAGTTTATGTCAAGTGGACGGTAAACCACATTTCTCTCTCTCTTCTCTGGATTATTCCGTCAGTGGTGCAGGAGGTAGGTCCTGGCAAGGAACACTTCCTACACTTAAAAAAAAAAGAGAGAGAGAGAGAGAGAGAGATGTGGGGTTTAACGTCAAACCAGGTCATTTTGGGACTAACAATTTTATTTCAATAATTCGCTTGCGCGTAGAGGTCTTTAGTAGTGGGAGGAAACCGGAGAACCCGGAGAAAACTTATGAGGTTGGACAGGCAACCCTACTCCTTGTCACGTACAACCGGGTAATCGAAACCACGTCAGTTGACTCAGTGACAGACCTTATGATACAGTGCGCACGTGCTAACCATTCGGCCATCCACGCCCCTGCCTACACTTACAAGAACCATTGACTGTTATTATTGGATAAAGAGTAAGCCCACTGCATGGTGTATGTCCGTCTCTATCGGCCCAGTTGGTGCAGTAAACTAGGATGATTTAATTAAAAATATTGCCGTTTTATTTCTACAGATAAACGTGTAGTTGAAGTAGCATGTGGTGTAAGTCACAGTGGCGTCATCACAGATGACGGTGATGTATACTGCTGGGGAGATAATTCGCGTACACAATGTGGCCTGGATACGCCTGACAAAATTAACATCCCTTTGATAGTTCCGATCTCAGAGACTGGTGAGGCCTGCGAACATGGTGTAACAGGTGATAAAAAAGTTGTCGCTCGGCAAATAAGTTGCGGGGCTGTGCATACGCTTATTATATGTAACGAGGGAAATGTGTGGAGCTGGGGGCAAGGGGCACAGTTAGGACAAGGGAGTACAGTTAAATCCCCAAAACCGTGTCTTCTAGAAACACTAAAAGGTAAAAATGTGATAAAGATTTGTTGTGGTCATTCGCATTCTGTCGCCTTGGTTGCACGAACAGAAAGACAGCCTAAAAAACAGAAACTAGAAAACAGACATAGCACTGATGTTCAGATATCAAAATATTATCCATCACGATGCTCGGTATGTAACACAGAGATTTATACTTACACGGACAACTCGGACACCTGCATCATTGAAAATTATCATGTGTGTAAGGATGATAAAGTCCCTGTCGATAGAAGTGTTGATTCTCTGGGTGATGATAGTTTCACGTCTAGTGCTACTTCAGATTTAAAAACTAGTGCTATATCTGAAGGTAGTGGTGGCTCCAAGATTACTGAAAGTACTGATTCCAAAATTATTGAAGAAGATGAAAATGCAGTTTCACAGAACAACTCACACACCACAGATGGTGATGATGCTAAGGAACCCAATAAAGCTGCGGCAACTCCTGAAACCTCTGATCCACCTGATGCAACAGAGATTTGTCAAAACATAGATAAACCATCAGCAAATGCAGAAAATCCCAACATACCACCAGCAACAGAATCCAAAAATCTAGAACCCACAGATCCAGAATCCACAGATCTAGAACCCACAGATCTAGAATCCACAGATTCAGAATCTAAACAAGGTGATGTTGACCCAAAACCACAAGAACAAATAGACTCTGCACAAGATGCTTCTAAAAGCCAGAGCGGTGTCACTGCCACTTCAGTTGCTGACACTTCCATGAGCTCAGCAGGTAATTCCGATAGTGTCAATGAAAAATCATCAAAAGATACAATAATCCCCAGCAAAAAATGTGAGGCGAAAACTCCAGAAGAAATTTTACCCAAGCAAGAAGAAGATATTTGGAAAAAGGCACCAACTCCTGACAGACTGCCAGATATCAATCGAGAGTCCCCAAGTTCCCCAAGTAAAGAAGAGACAGTGAAGAATCCAAAGAAACAAACAAATGACCAAGAAGATGGCAAAACAGAAAGATCATCGTTTGGAGGCTTTTTTCATGGAGTCATGCAAAATATTGGATCAGCTGCAAGCAAAGCTATAACCGACATACAAAATCAGATACCTTACGGAGCAAACCCAAATACTGGGAATGGCTCTATAACCAAATCCAACAGCCAAGATTCTAATTCTCCAATGTCGGACAGATCTCCTGTTTCGGATCAACACAATTTTGTATTAACATGTGGTCCGTTAGACTCCCCTCGTCGTGGATCGAGGTCAAAAGAACAATCGCCAACTAAAGCCTGGTCTCCTGAAAAAGACCGAGTTAGTAAAAAGCCTCAATCAATAAAAACCTTAATGGATCGACAGGAACAGATGGAAAAACGAGCTTCCATGTCTTCACCGGGTAAAGGTAAGCATTGTTTAAGTTTTTGTTCGATTTGTCAGGGAGCGCAGGCTCACTAAGCTGTAGGTCCGTTTTTAATCTGAGTTAGAAAATTCTTCTATCTTGTTGTTTGGAGTGGGAGTTGGGGGGGGGGGGTAGGGTGGGTGGTCTAGAGGTTAAACATGTGCATGTGAAGCAATAAGGTCTGTGATTGTCGTGGTTTTGATTCCCTCATTGTTCGTGACAAGGAATAGGGTCACATGTCGAATCTCTGTTTTCCTCCAGCTGCAAAATGAAAGATTAGTGTAAGGTAGGCTACAATTGTCCAGGGCAAGAATATGTCAAAGTGACTCAGGCATCCAACATAATTAGTACCAACATAAGCTTACGTGGTCAAGTTCCTATGAAAGAATTCGTGATTTTAATACTTTGAGCTCCTGTGTTGAAGAAAAATGGCCCCGTTGATGACAGTCTTAAGATGAAATAAGAATATTTTTTCCTTATGGAATTTCTATGGATTATTTTCAGCTGTTGCTGCCTCTTCGATTGGTTCTGTTGAAGGATCTGCTGATGAAGACAATCCTGTTGTTATAGATACTGAAGTTTGGGTTTGGGGACGTAACGCTAAAGGTCAGCTTGGTCTAGGCGATTCTCTAGATCGGTAGGTTTATCTTTAGATCATAAGGCCTGTCAGTGTATCAGGTGGCGTCGTTTAGAACCCAAATTTTTTACGTGACAAGGAATAAGGTCACCTGCTTAACTGTGTGGATCTTCAAGTTCCTTCCACAGACCCTATGCACAAGCGAATTATTGACATATTTTTTAATGTGGAACTTATCAAGTGACTGGAGTGGTTTCGATTTCCCTGTTGTACGCGACAAGGAGTAGGGTCGCCTGTCCAACCTTGTGGGTTTTCTTTGGTTCCTCCCACTTCTAAAGATCCCTACGTGCAAGCTAATTATTGAAATAAAACTGAACCATGACCTAATTTGTGTCAAGTGGACGTTCAACCCGATTTCGTTCTCTCTCTCTATTTGCACTGAAAAAATTTTGCAGTTTAAAATAAGGTTAGGCGTAAGGCTGCTGTCCAGTCGTGATGTCCAGACATACTGCATGGAGTATGTCTGTCTTCATAACGCGGGTCTGTGCAAATATTACATTTAACCTAATTTCAGGTCATATTTAAATATTTAATATATTGTTTTTATACGCCCACATGGAATTCTATTGAATTTCAGCAATTTCCGTTTATTACTTCTAGAGTTATGGCCCTTGTGTCACTTTGTTGCACTTTGTGAACACTCTAACCTCTAAAGTTATCTGCCGATTTGTATGAAATTTATATGTGCCATTTAAGTAAGTAAAAAGAACAATCCTATTGAAGTACAGCAATTTCCATTTATTATGTATAGAGTTATGGCCCTTGTTTCACTTTGTTGAACCTTGTGAACCTTCAAACGACAAAAATTATAATCTTGTCTTGTAAAGGTCCCCAATTACCTACCAAGGAATAAATATGTGACAATCCTTGTCGACCACTCGGACGATTTAGGTAGTGTAGGTGTATGTTTTGTTGCTGGCAACCTATCTTTATGGGAATCTGTTCTTTGAGGGGAATTTGTTGCCTGGCAACCTATGTTTTATTTCTATTTTTAGAGACACACCTAAATGTATCAAAATGATGAATGGAAAGGAAGTGGTTGTCATAGCAGCTGGTCACAGTCACTGTGTAGCAGCAACAGCTAATTCACAGGTTAAACATAGAAATAATTAATTAATAACAGCTAATTCACAGGTTAAACATAGAAATTTTTAATTAATAACAGCTAATTCACAGGAATTAAACATGGCAATTACATAGGTTTAACATAGAGAGTACTTACTACATCTAATTCACAGTTGACAAGATATTTTAGAAATACAATAACTTTTTTAAATTTTTGGAAAAAAACCAAACTTTGGTTTGCTGGCGTAAACAAATAGAAAAACGCTGAGTAAGGATTAGGGCTGCCTACATTAACCTTGTGAATTTACTCTGGGTTCTCAAGTGCTGTAGACCCTTGCATACAAGTGAACTGTTAAAATAATTACTTACACCATATGTTAGTCCCAACACAACACCAAGTTAGTGTAGAGTGTACATTCAACCCAACGACTCCATTTCTCTGCTTACATTGATAATATGTTAGTCCCAAAATGAACTAGTTAGTATCCAGTGTATATTCAACCCCATGACCCCTTTTCTTTTGTTTATTTATAGGTTTATACGTGGGGTCATAATGGCTACCTTCAATTAGGACATAATGAAACAACAGTAACACCTTGTAGAGTCAAGGTAAGGAACATCTTATACCATTTCACTTTTACTTTGGAGAAGGTCACATAGTATTGGATATTTGATTATTTTAAAATGACTGAAATGTTCCACGCCATTGTATTCCTTTATATTGTGTTATTATATTTAATTTGAAATATCTCTTGATGGTTGTTTCTAACACTTGTAGTTTATAAAGGAATGTAATAAATATTATGATGTTGATGAATATTGTTATTGTCATAAATGAATATTAATATGTTGTTCCCTGTAATGGATATTATTATGTTGTTCCCCATAATGAACATTATTTAATTCAGCAATGAATATTATTTTGTTGTTCCCCATAATGAATATTATTCTAATTTTCCTCTAGTTTATGAAGGAATGTAATGAATATTATTATGTTGTTCCCTGTAATGAATCTGTCTTCATTATTCCAGTCGGAGCAGAACAGTAGGACGTTAAACCCCATTTCATTTCATTTCCCTGTTATAAATATTCCATGTAGTTTATGAAGGAATGTAATGACTATTATTCTATTGTTCCTCTGGTTTATAAAGGAATGTTATGTATATTATTATTTTGTTCCTCTAGTTTATGAAGGGATGTTATGTGTGGGATGTGGCAGCTGGAGATTCCTATTCCGTATTTTTAGCTGATAGCTCGGGTATGAAACCAGCTGTTTTCTACTGTGGCAAACATCCATAGTAAGTTTTCTCTTTTTATGCACTGCTTATGGTGGGAGACATGTTGGCTCGGTGAATCTTTTTATGTACCGCTAATGGTGGGAGACATGTTGGCTCAGTGAATAAGACGTTGGAGGTCCTGTGTGGGATCCCTGTGTTGGCCACAAAAGTTCATCAGATGTTTCTGGCGTGGTTCCCCCTTGTCAGTGGTGCAGTGTCTGGCAAGGAACAATTTATAGTTGGTAGGATAAGTGAAAAAACTGAGGTCCCCTGTACACATTGGCATGCACGTAAATTATATCCCTTGGAAGTTGGAATTTGATATACATGTAAGAGTAAGCCATAGCGTCGCTGTCCAGGACAAATTTTCCACATAGCACACTGTATGGTGTATGTCCGTCTTCATGAGCCCAGTTGGAGCAGAACAGTAGGACGTTAAATACCATTTCATTCAATTTCTCTAGTGGTCATATTTGTTATTTGTTGTTTCAGTAAAGACCCGACTGCTCCCCTGAAGAAAATTATGAATCCAACAATAATTGGACCCTTAAAAAAGGTAATGATATATATATATATATATGTAATGTGCAATCTCATTTTGTTTTAGAAATGAAAATTTTAAGAAGCCCCTCTTTTGGATTGGTCGCCTGTCCAACCTCGTGTGTTTTTCTCTTGGTCCTCTGGTTTCTTCACACTGCTGAAGACCCCCTACATGCAAGCGAATTTTTGAATTAAAATTGAACCATATGTTAGTCCCGAAAAGACCATTTCTTTTTCTCTCTCCTTCTTTTGGAATTTAGAGAATGAAATACCCCAATGGCAGATGTTGGCTGAGAAAGTTCCTCAGGATTTTACAGCATAGATGTTGTACATAGTACTGGTAGGTGTTGTACATGAGACAGGATATGCTTACTCTATCTAGAACATCTGATACCACCTAGTGTAGATATGTAGTATTGATAGATGTTGTACATGATACAGGGTATGACGGTGGCTCGCTAACCTGGAGGTCGTGTTCGAACCCTGCATTGGCCGAGAAAGTTTATCAGGATTTTCCGACGTGGTTTCCCCTTGTCAGTTGTGCAGGACGGAGGGCCTGACAAGGACAGCTGGGATGGGACGGAAAACAGAGGTCTCGTGTATACATTGGCGTGCACGTAAAAGATCCCTTGGCAGTTGAAATTCGATATACGAGTAGGCCATAGTGCCGCTGCCCGGGCAAAATTTCCTTCATAGCACACTGTATGGCGTATGTCCGTCTTCATTAACCCAGTCGGAGCAGAACAGTAGGATGTTAAACCCTGTTTCATTTCATTTGGTAATGATTTTTATATTTAACAGTGTGGTTGGGTGAGACAGGTTCAAGCCAGGGGAGATAAATGTTTTTGTTTGGTAAAACCAGGAGACGGGGTAACGGCCACCATGTTTGAGTTTGCAGCCTCAGAACGAGGATTCTATCAACAGTTAAATCGTATCATCAACGCTTTCATTAAACCACTACAAAAATCAGGTTTGTTGGTAGAATTATAAGAAAATAAGGATTCAGTATGTCGAAGCAATTGCAACAAGTGTGAAGAAGGATCCCATTCAGACGCTTATCGCCTACCTGCGACAGGGAGCTTGGGTGGTCGATTGTTTTAACACATGGACAATATGGAGGTGTTTTATATAATATGGACAATATGGAGGTGTTTTATATAACATGGACAATATGGAGGTGTTTTATATAACATATAACATGGACAATATGGAGGTGTTTTATATAACATGGACAGTATGGAGGGGTTTATATAACATGGACAATATGGAGGTGTTTTATATAACATGGACAGTATGGAGGGGTTTTATATAACATGGACAGTATGGAGGTTTTATATAACATGGACAGTATGGAGGGGTTTTATATAACATGGACAGTATGGAGGGGTTTTATATAACATGGACAGTATGGAGGGGTTTTATATAACATTGAGGGGTTTTAACACATGGACACTATGGAGGGGTTGTATATAGCATGGACAATATGGAGGGTTATATATAACATGGACAGTATGGAGGGGTTGTATATAACATGGACAATATGGAGGGGTGTTATATATCATGGACAGTATGGAGGGGTTTTAGATAACATGGACAGTATGGAGGGGTTTTATATAACATGGACAGTATGGAGGGGTTTTAGATAACATGGACAGTATGGAGGGGTTTATATAACATGGACAGTATGGAGGGGTTTTATATAACATGGACAATATGGAGGGGTTGTATATAACATGGACAGTATGGAGGGTGTTTATATAACATGGACAACATGTGTTTTATATAACATGGACAACATGAGGGTGTTTATAAGATTGATATAACCTGTAATTTATAAATCCAGACTGTGTTATTTGTTTATATTTACAGCTTTTTATACAAGTCTGGATGTTTACCCGTTTAAAACATGTTTACAGAATTTATTACAAGCTTTTATTGATCTCAGTAAAAAGGTAAATAGTTAGTCATCATCCAATATTGGTTTGTTCATTACCAGTGTGGTTTCAGGCTGAGTCTGTGTCGAACCAGGGAGAGTGAGTTCCCTTGGAATGCATGAGGAGGAGAGTAAGTTCCCTTGGGATGTATGAGGAAGAATGCAAGGGAGATAAATAATGAGAAGCCTAGTGCTATTAATTTTAATTCACAGTCCTATGTCCAGTTATTGATTGGAATAAATATGCTATGAGTAGCAACTCCACAAAGTGGCGATGAGGCGACAATACTATATTCCGGAAAACACCGGAAAACTACTGGAAAACACCATGTTATACTGAATACCGAAAACCACCGGAAAAACACTAAATACCGAAAAATACCCTAAATAGGTAACCCGGAGACTGGCACCCGAAATAGGTAACCCGGAGCCTGGTGCTCTGTGTGCCTGGGTTGGGTTAGGGTTGGTTTCAAGTTTATAGTATAGCCCTCCTCCGGGTTACCTATTTAGGGTGTTTTCTAGTATTTAGTGTGGTTTCCGGTATTTACCGTATTTCCGGTATTTTCCTGTATTCAGTATAACATGGTGTTTTCCGGTATTTTTCCGGTGTTTTTCAGTGTTTTCCGGTATATAGTATAGCCCCGATGAGGTGAAGGTTCTACTTGTATTTAGGCCCACCTACTTCTAACGTTTCTTACATGTCCAGTTATTGAATAAATATGGTATGAGTATCCACACCATAACCGGTAACACAGAGATAGTCTATCACTGTATCTTCTAAAAGATTTCATTTTCCGGTGTGGTTTCCCCTTGTCATTGGTGCAGGATGGAGGGCCTGACAAGGACAGCTGTCTAGTTATTCGGATGGGACGAAAAGCAAGGAAGCTTGTACACATTGGCGTGCACGTAAAAAATATCCCTTTGCAGTTGGAATTCGATCCAAGAGTAGGCTGTAACGCCAATGTCCGGGCAAAATTTCCCTAATAGAACACTGTACGGCATATGCCAGACTTCATTAGCCCAGTTGGAGCAGAACAGTGGGACATTAAATCCCATTTCATTTCATTTTATTTTCTAAAAGATTTCAAAGCACTTGGAATGTTAATGACTGATAGAGTTATTTCATCTTTTTTTAAATATTTTGTTTAAGGTTGGTGATGGAATAGCAGAAGTGAGCGAAATCATGCGAGAGAATCAATGTTTCTTTGATGCAAGAATTATGACACACTGTTCACAATTTGTGAAAGAATTTAAAAATTATTCCAATCTTTACGCGGACATGTTGGCTGTTGGTGGATTCGATTATTGTGGTAAAATGGGCACGTAAGTATTGTATATTTATTGTCCTGTTAGGTTCTATGACAACTAAATCTGTAGAGTGGACTATCGTTTATTTAAGGCATAACTTTTATAACATAAAAGTAGCACTACAACGTGCGTTTGTGACGAATATTAATAACTTTGACATTGGATTATCTTATATTATGGATTGACTTTACAATAAACAGTAAAGTAAATATAAATATGTTTACAAGTATCACTACAACTTGAGTATTCTGTAGTTGTACTGTTTTAGCAGGTGTTTCTGTATTTAATGTTTAGTTTTAAACCTGACATTATACATATATATATATATGTTTTGTACCTGACATTATACATATATATATATATATGTTTTGTACCTGACATTATACATCATTAATCAGTGTCTGTATATAATGTTTAGTTTTAAACCATTATTGGCAAATTGTTCAAATTTATTGAGAATCATAGAAAACCATTTGGTTTCTACTGTTGAGTAGTTTAAATGTCTGTCTAGATTGGATAATAAGTGTCGGGTTTATAACTACATAGTTTCACTAGCGGTATGGAGTAATTAATTAGTTTGTTAATAACTCAACATCTTTTTTTCAGTTCCTTTTTTGATCAGTGTAAGGATATATTCCCTGACTTGATAGCAGATAAATCGGCTGATAAAACACAATATTCCTCCGCCTTTAGACGTACCATGGAATATCCTTTTATTCGAGTTAAACTAGATTACAGAAGACTTTTTGGTAAAATGGCCGAAAATCTTCCTCAGGTAATAGTTTCTTCTGTTACAGACGTCTGGTTTTGGCTTCAGATGGAGAATTTCCTTCTTTCATCAGTTGCCCTTATAGATTCCAGTAATAGCTGTTGGGTTGGGTGGCCGAATGATTTAATATCAGCGCTTTAGATCATAAGGTCTGTCATTGAGTCAACTGGCATGGTTTCTGTGACAAGGAGTAGGGTTGCCTGTTCAAGTTTCTGTGACAAGGAGTAAGGTTGCCTGTCCAAGTTTCTGTGACAAGGAGTAGGGTTGCCTGTCCAACCTCGTGGGTTTTCTCCAGGTTCTCTGGTTTCCTCCCGCTGCTAAAAACCCCTTAGTCAATCTGATTAAAATAAAAATCTATATTTCGTTTCGTTTTTTTCTGCTTTCGATGGCCTACACTACATGAAGTTCTGACCAGTTGTTTTGAGAGGTGGCGTCAAGTTCAAACGAGCGGTTTTTGACCATATGACTTCTGACATTTAATTAACCAATCAGCATTGACGTTTCTAGTTGATTACCCACAGTTCCATGCACCTCACGCCAAAAGCTCGCCGTAACAGACCGTTTAATTGGCTAATCCCTCACATCATCCAGAACACGTCAATGATAACAATTCTTCCAGATCCTAGTGTATTAAAGACAAGTAAAACGAAATTTTGAACTATAAAAAACGAAACGAAATAGGATCTGTGTTTTAATGAGATTGCCAATACGCTCATGTAACCAGTCTCTAGTGTGTTTGGATGTCTTGATTGATGATGTATTTTTGACCCAGATTGAATTCAATATTTTTTTTTTTTGTTTATCATTACGATGAGAAGAATCTATTGATGTTTTATAAACCTTGATTTAATTCATTGATTTTATTTGTTTAGTTCTATAATTTTATTTGCTTCCAGGAATCAGACGAGAAGAATTTATTGAATCGTGTGTTGTTGAACTGGGAGAGTCTCAAGATGACCATGTCCACAGATCATCGGATAGCCGAGGCTACAAGGCTATTCTGGGAAAGTGTACATCCTAAAATATTGGTGAGTATTTCCTATTTCTATTTATTTTTTCATCCCACATTTCTTGTAGTCCTTGTCAGTCGAATGGGACAAAAAATGAGGTCCCATGTATACATTGGCGTGTACATAAAAGATCCCTTGGCAGTTGGAATTCGATATAAGAGAAGGTCATGGTGCCGCTGCCAGGGCAAAATTTCCCTCATAGCACACTGTATGGCGTATGCCTGTGTTCATTAGCCCAGTTTAGGAGCAGAACAGTAGGACGTTAAACCCCATTGTGGGTTTGCTCTGGGTCCCCTGTTCCTTGCTAATCTTGTTGGTTTGCTCTGGGTCCCCTGTTCCCTCCTTATCTTATGAGTTTACCCTGGGTCCCCTGTTCCCTCCTTATCTTATGAGTTTACCCTTGGTCCCCTGTTCCCTCCTTATCTTATGAGTTTGCCCTGGGTCCCCTGTTCCCTCCTTATCTTATGAGTTTGCCCTGGGTCTCCCATTCCCTCCTTCTACTAAAGACCTCTCTGATTAAATTACAGATCTATATTTCGTTTTTTTTTTTTATACTTTCAATGGCCTACACTACATGAAAATCTGACCAGTTGTTTTGGGAGGTCGCGCCAGAGGTCATTTGAGCAACTTTTGACCCTATGACATCAGACATTTGATTAACCAATCAGCATTGATGTTTCTAGTGGATTACCCACAGTTCTGTGCACCTCATGCAAAATCTTGCCTTAACAGACCGTTTCATTGGCGAATCCAAATCCTAATGTAGTAAAGACAAGTAAAACGAAATTTTGAACTATAAAAAACAAAACGAAATAGGATCTGTGTTTTAATTAGATTGTTCGTTAGGTGAATGTCTCGTTTATTTCTAATTTCAGGATGCTTTACGAGTTCCGTCAAAACGTCTGTTACGTGACAGTAAAACCAGCCCTTTAATGTTGCCACATGCCGGTCGATTCTCGAATCATGTGATAGCTCTGTTTAACGATGGATTTGTTCACATCCAGAACACAGCGTATCAACATTATCCGTTATCTACGTTATGGGTCGAGTCTCATAGTTCAGAAGCAGAACAACAGTATGTATTTTATATCATCTCGTTTCTTCGTTCCCGGCAAAGCCATGGTGGGTCAGTGACGATAGTTCTGGCTCACGAACCAGGAGTATGTATTTATATCAAATGGGAAATTGGGAGAATGAAGGGTCTAATCCCTGCACTTTAGATCATAAGGTCCGTCATTGAGTCAAGTGGTGTGGTTACGATTCCCAAATTCTTTCCTCCTACAGGAAAGACCCCTACACGCACGTGAATTATTGAAATAAAATTGAACCATATATCACTCCCAAAATGACCTAGTTTATCTCTCTCTCTCTCCCTTCTCAGTGGTGCAGGATTTACCTCATCTTACGACTATATTGTCATGACATTTATTAAAGTTTATGAAGTATTACTTAAGTATTTATTTTTCCAATAGATGTGTATTTATTTCCTTGTACAATGTTCTTTTTATCTGTTATTGTAGAAATGTAATTATTGTAACCTCTCCAGAAGATACACTAACCTTAGTTGCCAGTACACCAGAAGAAAAGGTAATATCTTGTTTTAGTAGGACATATAACTTGTTTAATAGGTATATTGATACTGCATGAGGACATTACATAAACAATGATTGAATGTTGGGTAAATTCTTAAATCTAAGAATGTTTTGTGAAACCGAGGCCCGACTTGTCCACTAATCAAAATGTCTGTATTGGTTTACAGCGGCTCATTTTGTGGTGGATTATGGAAATTTGGGGATTATATAAACAGAAGTGTTACAGATAGAACATGTTGGGTGGGGGTGGGTTGAACGGCCTTGTGGTCTAAAGTATCACGCTCCAGACTCTATCTAGACATTCACCTCTTGCTTGCCATTGTGATTTTGATTTTGATTCCTTGTGTGACCATATGTTGATTGGAGATTATGGACGTGTTCTCAACCTCGTTGGTTTACTCTGGGTACAGGAAAGACCCCTGTGCAGTAACTTAATACACTAAAGTTAAAAATAAAAACTTTTCTCCGATATTACCGGATGTTAAACGCTAACAACTATGGTTTGATAATAACCCTGCTTGTATTTAAATTGGTTATGTTTTGTTTTACAGGCCGAATGGTTAATGACTCTGAATGCTGCGATCAATAAAGAGTTGTGTATCCAGAAAGCTGTTTCACAAAGAAACAGCGCGGAGAGATTTACACCTCCGTTAATACGTCATGTGATCCACACATTCACAAAACACTGTCTGTATAAAGACGCGACGTATAAAGGTTTCATGTTGAACGGGAAGATGCATGGCCAGTAAGTATGCTTACTCTATCTAAAACACCTGATACCACCTAGTGTAGATATAATAGTATTGATAGATGTTGTACATGACACAGGGTATGCTTAATCTAACTAGAACACATAATACCTTCTTTAGATAGGGTGACTAAAGTCAAGTTACCTCTTTAAACTTGGACTTTTCCTACTTCTAACCCTCATATCTATGGTTACTTAGACTGTGCCAAACCACCTGTAACTATGGTTACTTAGACTGTGCCAAACCACTTGGTGCCACATCACTTGCATATTCCGATCACAAATCGACCAAGAAAACCCATCTTAAATAAGAGATAGATTATTGTTTGGATTTTAATGTGAAATTGTTATTATTTTAGGGGTGAAATGAGTTGGCACGATGGTAGAAAATATATTGGTAAATTTAGTCAGGGTTTACAACAAGGGTACGTATTTATATGTAGTATATGTATTATTTAATAGGAAAACTAAAAATCTACTGAAAATCAACTGTAATTTAGATTAATTTGTAACTTAAAATCAGCTGTAATTTAGATTAATTGATTGTTAAAACTATATTTATCGTTTGATTGAGCTACTGTACAAACTAGTCACTATTGACCGACTGATATAATTCTGAAGTAGTAACACTGATGGAAATATCACTAAATATGTTGCACCGTTGGTACAAAAAATCAGTTGATATATTTTGTGTGTTTGTAGCCATGGACAGTATATTATACCACGATCAGAAGGGTTTGAGATTCAAGATGGTAACTGGAAGGATGGTAAATTAAATGGTTATGGTATTATCAAGTAGGTTTTACTTATCTTAATCCAATCTATTTACAATCTGATCCCTTAATGAGAGAGAGAGAGAGCGGGAGAGAGAGAGCGGGAGAGTTTAACGTCCACTCGACACAAACTAGGTCATTTTGGGACTAACACATGGTTTAATTTTATTTCAATAATTCGCTTGCACGTAGGGGTCTTTAACAGTAAGAGGAAACCGGAGGACCCGGAGAAAACCCACGAGGTTGGACAGGCGACAATACAGCTTGTTACATACAACTGGGGAATCGAAACCACGCCAGCTGACAGACCTTATGATACAGCGATCACGTGCTAACCATTCGGCCACCCAATCCCACCTATGTGAATATGACTGTCAAGGTTTCAATCACGATGTTGTCTGAGAAAGTTTCTCAAGATTTTCAATCTTAGTTTCCTCCTTATCATTGGTGCCGAGCCTGGCAAGGAGAAGGTACATACCACTGGAAATGGAAAAAAGAGTATGCGTTCTATTTCAGCACAAGCATGGCATATTCTTGTCTTCATTAGAACGTTAAACAAGGAACCACATACAGTCGCTTGGATGGGACAAAAATCTGTGGCGTGCTCGTAAAGACCCCTGGAATTGATGAAGAATAGGAGAAGGCATCACTGTCCAGGAATAATTTCCCTCATATCACACTGCATGGTGTCATCACATCTTCATATATAACTAACTAGGATATATGTATGTTTTGATTTATTTACAGATATGAGAATGAAGATAGTTATAAGGGTTATTTTAAAGATGGACAACGGTTTGGACATGGTATATTTAAACAGGGTCTACACATGTCAAACGCTGCTAGTATATATATTGGGGAATGGTATAATGATAAACGTCATGGTTACGGTGTTCAGGATGACATCATGAAAGGTTAACATAAAACAATAGTTGATTTATTTTTTGTTTCTCTTATATTTCAGTAAGCGATAAACAAGGTGTGATATCATTTGTTGGACTTAAAAATTAAGTCTCACAGTCACACTACCGGTAGTTCATTTCATTTGTGCCATCTCATTTGTTGGACTTAAATAAAGGCTCACAGTCACAAAGGTCCAATTATTCCATTTGAGGCATCTCATTAGTTTATTTATGGGGGTGGTACAATTTGCGATTTTCAAATGTTGCTAAAAAATTTTTTAATTTGTAGCAGTATCTGAGAATATCATTAATATCAGAGATATTGAGAGACTGTTCCGAAACTAACTGTTTGCATACATATAACTATCATAGATAACTACTCAGAAACTTGCATTACTTTATAGCTATTGCTAATGTTACAAGCAGATCTATGGTGAATAACAATTACAATATTATTATCTACCTGTTTTATTGATTATTTTTACAGGTGAGAAGTATATGGGGATGTGGCAGGAAGACTGTTGCCATGGTAAAGGTGTTGTTGTTACATTAGATGGCATGTATTTTGAAGGAAACTTCGTTTATGACAAACTCACAGTAAGTTTCATTAGGATTTGTAATGAAATTGATAACGTGCCCATTTGGGTTAACAAATACACTTTCAACTTTTCATGTGTTCATGTCTTTTGTATTGAAGAAATGTGTATTTAATGGAAGGAAAATGTTCATTATATGTTAACTTCTGTAGTTAATTTAATTTTTTTCAAGTTGAGCGGACGTCCATCTGTAAATCACATCTTTGTATTTCAAATGTTTTTTTTAGGGTTTTGGTTTGATGTTAACAGATGACAACAGTTGTTATGAAGGAGAATTTCAAGGAGTGACTTTACTTCAAGGAAAGGTACATTTTAAAACTTTTCGTCAGATGGCTAAAGAATAAAGATAAAATTGAAATTAAAATAACGCAAACTGGTCCAAAAATGCTCAAGGTGTGTTGAACAAATGAAAATATTTAATTTGAATATTTTGTCCTGCTCCTGATGCCAGGTCATAGAACAACAGTCATATCATGCAATGTTAACTTGCACCATCTTCGAATGAATATTGTTTTAGGGTTTTTTTGGTGGTGTGAACTTTGGATTGTAAGGATCAGTTTAAATATCACTGTTTCAATCCCATGTTTCTATGAGACAAGTGGTAATGTAGTCTGCTTAACCTTGAGGATTTTCACTGTCTTCCCGCATTACTAAAAAACCCTGCACACAAGCAGATTATTGAAATAAGAAATTACAATATGTTAGTCCTCAGACTTGCCGCTGTGGCTCAGTGACTAAGACTTAGGCTCGCTAACCAGGAGGTCCGTTGTTCGATCCCTACGTTGTTCGATTTTCAGACGTGGCCCCTCCTTATCAGTGGTGCAGGACGGAGGGCCTGGCAACGGACAATGTATGGTCATTTGAATTCGATATAAGAGTAGGCCGCAGTGCTGCTGTCTGGGAAAAATTTCACTCACAGCACACTGTATGGCGTATGCCCGTCTTCATTAGCCCAGTTCGGAGCAGAACAGTAGGACGTTAAACCACATTTCATTTCATTTCTGTCATTACTGACCAATTTATATTTATAGTATTCTTGTAAGTTTTATTTTAGCAGTTGTTAATTGAAAGACAGACTAATATATATTTTTGGGGTTCGTTAACTCTGTAGGTTTTATTGTAGGGGTCGTTAACTCTACCATCTGGTGATAAATTAGACGGTGTGTTTAACGGAACCTGGAATGAAGGATTGAAATTTAACGGAACGTTTATCCGAGCTGAGTTATCCCATTCAGGCCCAAGTAAGCCTAAATCACACATGTTAGATATCAACAACAGGTGAGTTATACTTGGAACGGGGGTGGGGGGGGGTCCTAGAGGTTTAACTCGTGCGCATGAAATCATTAGGTCTGTCATTGAGTCAAGTGGCACGGTTTTGATTCCCTGCTTGTACATGACAAGCGTGACAAGTAGGGTCGCTTGTCCATTTTCAAGGGTTTTCTCCAGGTCCTCCGGTTTCCTCCCACTGCTAAAGACCCCTACGCTCATGCAAATTATTGAAATAAAATTGAACCATATGTTAATGACCTAGTTTGTGTCAAGTGGACGTTAAACCCCATTTCTCTCTCTCTATACTTGGAAGATTTTACCTAGTCAGAAAGATGGAGTCACATTGGTTCAGTGATGAAGGCACTGGCTCATTTGATTTCAACTGTGATCTGATATATGACTATATTTTACATATTTGCAGGCTTTAAGATGTACCTGACAAAATGTCAGGCACTAATGAAATAGTACCTGACATTTTCAACTTAGTGCTGGACATGTATTAATAATATTAATAAAAAAGACAAATCAGTGCCGGACAAAATAAACAGGCACCAGAGGTTTAGTGCCTGACAAAGTCTGAATCTGTGCCTGACATTGTCTGTGACAGGTGCCTTATTTCCAGGCTTGCATATTTGGTGTTCTGTGGGTTGGATGGACCAATGGTCTAATGTCTTTCATTAAGTTAAATGTTGTGCATTGATAAGCTAGGGCAGTAAAAAAACACCTGTTTGATCCCAAGGGACGTAAAAAAAATTTTGAATCCACTAGCCCAGGGCTAGTAGTCTACTGTCAGGCACTAGCCCGGCATTAATATCCACTAGTCCAGTCCATAGTTTGACAAGGTACAAGATTTAATCTTCAATATTTTGGCATATGTTTTGTTGCGTGCCAACCTATTGTTTTTAATAAAGATCGTAGACTTGATTGCCTAATAATTAAGGATATATATGCTACTCAGTTAACCGGTCAGTTTGATGTGCTGGTATAATATTAAAATAGACAGGATAGTAAAATTGTTTATATTATCAGGAAATACCTGACATGTTAAATAATCAAAATTATCTTGTATTTAAAAATACAAAGGTATGCTTTCAAATATTTATGTCAGAACTAATCTAATATAAAGTATAAGTGAGTCTTTTGTTTTTAAATCAACCTGATTTCAACTGGTTTATACATGACCTGTCAAAGCGTGCAAGATGGAGAAATGAAATGTCAAGAATGAATGAATAGAAGGGGTACGACTCTAAGTTTTACTACAGAAAATCTATTGTTATGATTGAGTTTTCAGTGGAATTTGAGAAATAAATGTGGGATGTTTTACAGTTTATTTATCTATATCGCCACTAGTTTAATTCACAAACCAGTGAAAGGGCACTAGCCCAGGACTAGTACGGCTAAATAGATCACTAGCCCGTAAGTTATTTTTGGTAGCCCCGGGCGTCGGGCTAGTGTATTTTTACAACCCTGTATTATACCCAACCGTCTTTCTCACTTCCTGGTTTAAAATTTATTTTACAGAACATATGGTAAATTATCAGTACCAGCTGATAGTAAATGGTCGGATATATTTAAACATACCCTGGCATTATTAGGGTATCTGGAGAGTAAAAATAACCCGAATAAGGCATGGGAAGTGGTTGCTGTTAAATTAACACAAGGACAGAAAAAAATCAAAGAACTTGAAAAGAAGTAAGATATATTTTATTATACTTTATAATGTGCTTAGTTATATGGAGGGGGGCGGGGGTGGATGGCCGAATGGTTAACATGAGCGTGTTGTATCATAAGGTCTGTCATTGAGTCACAGGGCCTAAAATATAGTTAAATTCTCGTAGCACGGATTCTGTGTCCGAAAATTCAGAACTGACAAATGGCATCTGTGGACTATTCTGACGCAGTTTACATTGGAGTTTATTTGGCTATGGACAGATTTTTTTTGCATGAAATCTCGACACTAGGAAGACAACACACCACTTTTGTTACGATAATTTTTAAATCATAATTTAAATTCTATTATCACATCAACATCAGAACTAAAATTATATCAGTAACAAGGGTACTAAATAAAAAAACCAAATCTGATTATTGTCTTTTCAAGTCTCTTCAGGGAGTCAGCGCTACCTTACACTTTTTTCAGAGCACTACAGCATTTTGTTGAGAGTACGGTTTTCTTATTTCCGAAGCACGGATTTTTCATTTCGAAGCATGTTCGTGCTCATAGGCATGTTATTTTAGGCCCTGTTGAGTCAACTGGCGTGGTTTCGATTCCCCAGTTGTACATGACAAGGAGTAGGGTTGCTTGTCCAACCTCTCATGGGTTATTGAAATAAAATTAAACCAAATGACCTAGTTTGTATCTTTTGGACGTTAAACCCCATTTTTCTCTCTCTCTCGCTTAGTTATATTCTTTTGTAATAGGCTCAAAGGTCTGACTAGTCATTTGCACGGAACAAAAAATACAATTTTGTTTCGAAATTAGTTGTGTACATAAAAGATCCCTTGGAAGTTGAAGCAGGTGGAAAGAGAGTTGCCTGAACAAAAATCTTCTACGCACTCTGCGACTCATTTATCACCTATTAGTTATTTTATTAGTGATTGTAAATATTTCAGGTCCCCAACTAAAGCCAAGACTCATACAGTAAGTCTGGAGAGTTTACAGACCATACCACCCTATAATACTGGTAAATTATCTATAGAAAGTTACAATAACATAGCAGCTTATTTATCTAAGGTAAACAAATCTTGAATAAGTTCTGGTGTCAACTTTAGCATATCATGAGATCTATAACAGAAGGGGGGGGGGGGTCAGGTGGCCGAACGGTTAACACGCGTGCATGTTACATCATAAGGTCTGTCAATGAGTCAAGTACCGTGGTTTCTATTCCCCACTTGTACGTGACAAGCAGTAGGGTCGACTGTCCAACCTTGTGGGTTTTCTCTGGGTCGTCCGGCTTCCTGCCACAGCTAAAGACCCATACAGTTAAGCGAATTATTGTAATGAAATCGAATCATGTGTTAGTCCCAAAATGACTTAAATCGTGTCAAGTGGACAATAAAAACCCATTTGATCCCAGTGTTGGCTGAGAAAGTACCTCAGTGGTGTAGGAAGATAGCCTGGCAAGGAACAACCTGTAGTCGTTGGGATGGGACGAAAAAAAAAAAAATCCCATGTACATGTTGGCATTGACCTATAAGAACCCTTGAGAATTTCAAGATGATGGGAGGTCATAGCACATTGCATGTCTTATGCTTGTCTTCATTAGGCCAGTCGATACAGAACAATTGCATGTAAAAACCCCTTTTTATTTCATTCCATAACTTTATATAGGAGTTGTGTTAACCCTAGGTTTTTATTATAAACCATGTCTGCTCCATGGAGTCGTGACTTTTAACAGTCCTATTCTGATGAATTCATCTTTTTGTGTTGAGAAGAATTGATCTGCGCTGCGTTGATGCAATCTGGTATTCTTGTATTAAGAATGGCAAGATTAAAACATTTACATTAAATATGAAAAATAGAGAGGTAGTAATCATAAAAATACTACCTAATATTTGTAGTGGGAATCTTTTAAAGAGAATGGAAGCTTATTGACCTTATTTCCTGAAGCGGACAATAACTTCTTGTGACCTTATTTTGGCCTCTGTTAACTGCAAATCAAAATGCCCCACGAGCAAAATTTTGAACGGGCATCCCTGATTGACAGTCATCTATTTATAAAAGTGATAGGTTTTTATCGGTTCTCAATATATTGTTTTATATCTATCAACAGGCATTTGATAATCCTTATCATCCTCTCGGCAGTCTGGTAGATGGTATTGTGGATGTTTTCCGTGCTGCATATGTTGGTGTCGGTGCCCATCCTCGTCTTCTACATCACGCTGTACAGGAAATAAAATCATATGTTAAACGTATCTATGTTGTTGTCAGGTGAGTACTCATTAACCTTCTCTTGTTGGCAGTTGGAATTCGATATAACAGTAGGCTGTGGAGCTTGTTTTATTAGGCCCAATCATATTAGTTCTCTGGAGTTTTCATACATCCGAGAAAATTCAACAGGATTTTCCAGCATTGATTTCGCAGTGGTGCAGAACGGAGAGCTTGACAACGACAGCTGTCTAGTCGTTCGATGAGACGAAAAACCGAATTCCCATGTACACCTTGGCATGCACATAAAAAATCCCTTGGCATTTGGAATTCGATATAAGAGTAGGCTGTAGCGCCGCTGTCCAGTCAAATTTCCCTCATAGCACAATGTATGGGTGTGTTCGTCTTCAGTAGCCCAGTAGAAGCAGAATAGTAGGACGTTAAACCCCATTTCATGTCATTTGTTCAAGTCTCGTATTTGGATCATGGTTATCGACCAAGTCCCCGAGATAAGAATATAACGATTGTGTGATGATTTGTACTGGACAAAGTCTGTGATAGGCCATACTCCTGGCAGTGTTTCGTTTGATTAGACATAATCCCACTCAAGCACTGCCGTAAAGAAAGCAAACTTCTGTTCCAAATTATGAACGAATACCTAACTGCCTAACAATGTAATTCAGGTTTAAATAGAGCTCCACATTGTTTACATAACGTTACGTCATGACTACAAAATCTATATGTACGATTAACCGGTGCATAGCAGAATATTGCAGAGAAACTAATTGCGTAACAAACAAGGCTATCAACGGTTACAATGTAAACAATACTGTATGAAGACGAACAATACTTTCACCATTTTTAATACCTTAAATCACTGTCCAAAGTTTTAGGGAAGACCTCAGATGAAACGAAGGGCTGTCATATTGCTGTACTTGGTATAGATTTGATTGAACAGGAAGAATAGACACACTCCCTCAAAAGCTCAAGTATCATAAATCAGTCCAGCAATGGCAATGGTTAAAAATCTTTTATTTCCAATCGTATCCAATTCAATTTTGTTTCCTTTTGTAGACTTTTATTTCCTGATCTGCCCGTTAAAACAGGTCCAGTTAATATTTATACAGAAACCTCGGATAAAACACAGGGTATACCGTTATCAACTGAAGCTGCTCAGGCCTTCTTACGCAGAAACTCTGATGATGATGAACCAAGGTCAGTAGATTTACGGTATATATAGGTCTGTTTGTTAAACTAGATCGTAGTCTTATTAAGGAAGTGCGTCACAAGATTTTAAAATTGAATGATTAAACAATCGTTGCTACGATGATAAACAATCTAAGCTACATTTTTAAACACTCATAAAGTAATTTGAATGAAAATTTTCAATATATTCATTTCTTATTATTTATTTTTGATCTAGTTGTTCGGATGGTATGAAAAACTGAGGTCCGGTGTACACATTGACGTGCACGTAAAAGATCCTTTACCAGTTAGAATTCGATATAAGAGTAGGCCTTAGTGCACCAGTCCATGCAAAATTTCCCTCATAGCACACTGTATGGCATAAGGTTTGTCTTCATTAACCCAGTCGGAGCAGAAAAGTAGGACGTTAAACTTAGGCTAAGCATGATGTGGTGCTCTATAATAATATAACCCAGTCGGAGCAGAACAGTAGGAAGTTAAACCCCATTACATTTATTTATTTTTGAAAATGAAAATGAAATGAAATGGAGTTTAACGTCCTACTGTTCTGCTCCTAACCTGGGCTAATGAAGACGGGCATACGCCATACAGTGTGCTATGAGGGAAATTTTGCCCGGACAGCGTCACTACGGCCTACTCTTATATCGAATTCCAACTGCCAAGGGATCTTTTACGTGCACGCCAATATGTACATGGGACTTCGGTTTTCCGTCCCATCCGAACGACTAGACAGCTTTCCTTGTCAGCCCCTCCGTTCTGCATCACTGACAAGGGAGAACCACGCCGGAAAATCTGGATGAACTTTCTCGGCCAATGCACAGATCGAACACCCGACCTCCAGGCTAGCGAGCTAGCGTCTTACCCACTAAGCCACGTGATCCCTATTTATTTTTGAACTATGATAGCTAGAACTCTCAGCTGTTACATAATGCATCTTTAACTTGTTTTTTTTTTTGTTTCAGTGAAATTATCTCTGCTGCTGGTCTTCTGTATCCAATATTATTACCGAAGATTTATCCCCCCTTGTCTGACCTGTACGGGTTATATAATGATCGGGATGATAATACGTATTGGGAGAGAGTCACCAAGTTAAATCGTCAAGGTGATATGGCCTTAATGGCTTTCCTCGGTATTGATGAGTAAGTTGACATTATCTATTTATTGTCCTCAGCCTTTCAAAGAAAACAGGGGACTATTAAAATGGGTCTGTCCGTCACACTTTTTGGGACACAATAACTTTCCTTCTAATTGAGCTAGAATCTTCAAACTTGGTGTAGGTGTTTATTAGGTGAATGCCTTGACGAGTGTTCAAAGATGAGCATTTTCTGCTTAGGGTAAGCAGAGATCAGCAATTTGATTGGTTGATGGTTTGGGACACGATAACTTTAGTTCTAATAACGTGAGAGTGATTAAACTTGGTATATAATTTCATAAGTTCGATAATGATCATTTTCTGCTTGGGGTAAGCAGAGCGATAAGCAATTTGCATTGGCTCAGTGGATGTGGCGCCAGCTCAGTAACAAGGAGATGCCAGGTTGGATCCTGGTCGGGGGAACTCCCTGGGATTTTCCATTGTGATGTTCCGTGCAAGGAAAAGTGTATAGTTGGTCGGATGGACAAAAAAATGAGGTCCCGTGTACACATTCGCATCCACATAAGAACCTTTGGCATTTGGAGAGCGACAAAGAATAGGTTTAAACGCCCCTGTCCAGGCAAAATGGATGTCTTGATTTGCCTGGTTGGGGCAGAAAAACCAGACGTTAAATTTCATTTCTTAAAAAATTCATTAGGCTCACAGGGGGGTTGGATGGCTTAGTGGTTAGCAAGTGCACGCTGTATCATTAAGTCTGTCATTGAGTCAACTGGCGTGGTTTCGAATCCCCGGTTGTACGTGACAAGGAGTAGGGTCGCCTGTCCAACCTCGTGGGTTTTCTCCGGGTCCTCCGGTTTCCTCCCACTGCTAAAGACCCCTACGCGCAATCGAATTATGGAAATAAAATTGAACCATATGTTAGTCCCGAAATGACCTAGTTTGTGTCGAGTGGACGTTAAACCCCATTTCTCTCTCTTTCATTAGGCTCACAAGCTATAAGAAAACTACGTATTGGAAAATATAATTTTATTTTCTTGTAGACGATTTTGGTTGATGAAAGTTAATGTAAATATAATTTTATTTTCTTGTAGACGATTTTGGTTGATGAAAGAAGTTTTATTACAAGATAAAAGTCAGGTAAAATTATATTAATAACAATAATATGAACATGTAAATATTGCCTCTCCATTAATAACATATAACAACAAAATATAATTATATAGCGTTTATGATTAACATGTAAAATTCTGTATTTTTTATTAAATGTTTTAAAACTGATGTTTTACTTTATATTTAGTTTAATTGTAAAGTTTGCCCTGAAGCAGCTGGAATTCTCAGTGCTATACAAATTAATATAATAGTTATTTTTTAAACGGGAGCCACATGGTGGCTCAGTAAGTAAAATGCTGGCTTGCTAACCCAGAGCTTTACGTGTTTCATCCCTGGGCGTGATTACAGCTTGTCAGTGGTGCAGGGATGGGGACCTGGTGAGTGACAACGTGTAGTTGTTCGGATAGAACGAAAAACCGAGGTGTTGTGTACACATTGACATTCGGATTTCGATATAAGAGTAGGCCATAGCGCTGTTGTCCAGGCAAAATGTTCTTCATAGCACACTGTAAGGTGTATGGCCTATCTTCATTAGCCCAGTCGGAGCAGAATAGTAGGACGTTAAACCAAATTTAAACCCCATCCTTTTCTCAATTCTTATGAAACGAAATGTCTTCTATAAAAAGCCTTATATGAATTAGCCTAGAGGAACCATCAAGGTCTCTATCGGTCCTTAACTGACCCTGATTATTGTTTTGAGAATATACTTTTTATACGCCCACATTTAAATGTGGTCGTATATTGTCGTCGCCCCCGTCTGTCCGTCCGTCCGTCGGTCCGTCCGTCCGGCGTCCACAATTGCTTGTGGACGCTCTAGAGGCTAAAGTTAATATCCGATTGTTCTTAAATTTATACACAGTGTTTAAGGTCATGAGACGAAGAAACCTATTGATTTTCAGTGATTTCCGATAATTAATGCCAGAGTTATGGCGCTTGATCACTTCAAAAAATCTTGTGGACGCTCTAGAGGCTAAAGTTAATATCCGATTGACTTTAAATCCATACACAGTGTTTAAGTTCTTGAGACGAAGGAGCCTATTGATTTTCAGCGATATCCGATTAATTACTGCCAGAGTTATGGCCCTTGATCACTTCAAAAAATCTTGTGGACGCTCTAGAGGCCAAAATTGATATCCGATTGACTTTAAATTCATACACAGTGTTTAAGATCATGAAACGAAGAAGCCTATTGATTTTTAGCAATTTCCGATAATTACTGCCAGAGTTATGGCCCTTGATCACTTTGAAAAATCTTGTGGATGCTCTAGAGGCCAAAGTTAATATCCGATTGACTTTAAATTTATACACAGTGTTTAAGATCATGAGACGAAGAATCCTATTGATTTTCAGTGATTTCCGATAATTACTGCCACAGTTATGGTCCTTGATCACTTTTAAAAATCTTGTGGACGCTCTAGAGGTCAAAGTTAATATCAGATTGACTTTAAATTTATACACAGTGTTTAAGGTCATGAGACGAAGAAGTCTTTTGATTTTCAGTGATTCCCAATAATTACTGCCAGAGTTATGGCCCTTGATCACTTTGAAAAATCCTGTGGACGCTCTTGAGGCCAAAGTTAATATCCGATTGACTTTAAATTTAAAATCACTTCAAAAAATCTTATGGACGCTCTAGAGGCCAAAATTGATATCAGATTGACTTTAAATTCATACACAGTGTTTAAGATCATGAGACGAAGAAGCCTATTGATTTTTAGCAATTTCCGATAATTACTGCCAGAGTTATGGCTCTTGATCACTTCAAAAAATCCTGTGGACGGCTCTAGAGGCCAAAGTTAATATCCGATTGACTTTAAATTTATACACAGTGTTTAATGTCATGAGACAAAGAAGCCTATTGATTTTCAGCAATTTTCTATAATTACTGCCAGAGTTATGGTCCTTGATTCAAAAAATCTTGTGGACACTCTAGAGGCCAAAGTTAATATCCGATTGACCTTAAATTTATACACAGTGTTTAAGGTCATGAGACGAAGAATCCTATTGATTTTCAATGATTTCCGATAATTACTGCCAAAGTTATGGCCCTTGATCACTTTGCAAAATCTTGTGACGCTCTAAAGGCTAAAGTTATCATCCGATTGACTTCAGATTGATACACAGAGTTTAAGATCTTGAGACGAACAAGTATATTGAATTTCAATGAAATTTTATGACTTGGGACAGCTAAATCCATGATATTAAAAGTTTTGTATACAAAACGTTAGCTTGGGGCAGAACTTTATAAAAACCAAACAAATTCTAATGGTTTTCTGAGTTGTTGCTCTTAATCAGATTTTAGTGTATTATAAATGTTTCATTACCGAAAAAAGTAAAAATATGCGACAACTCTTGTTGACTGCCCGGACAATTTAGCTGCTGTGGGCGTATGTTTCGTTGCCTGGCAACCTATCTTGTTTTTTTATTGTAGAAATTATCGGCAGCAAGAGATCAATGCTATGCGTCTGCTGTGGATACGTTACAACAACTTAGTACAGCATTTAGTCCAATAGAAAAACTCAGAGTTATTGAAAAAACATTCCAGGAAATTACGGAGGTAAATATTTAACATGGATTATATGGAGTAAATTATAAATCTCTCGCTGTTGAAATATCATTCAATCAATCAAATGCCTGGAAACACTGTCCCTGAACAGTCAACCGTATAAAAAAAATCAGTTAAGTTTAGTTATCATGTGATACCAGGACTCTTCTTACCGTTGTGACTAATCATCAGTGAAATTAACCGACTGGAGAACTTAACATGAAATTTTAATTTCAAAAAATCTTAGAAAAATAATAAATATAGTTTTATTTATAATAGTTGGTTTTTATTGCTAATTAGAGTTATTACAAAATACAACAAAAAGTAACTGGCTGACAAAATTTTGAAGTGAACGGCCTATGGGTTCAGACTGGGATGAAATCCCAATTGCATTCATGAATTTCTAGAATCCTGCTATAGGTCTTTTTGGGACTAACATATGGTTCAATTTTATTTCCATAATTCACTAGCTTGTAAGGATCTTTTAGCTGTGGTAGGTAACTGGAGGACCCGGAGAAAACCCACGAGGTTGGGTAGGCGACCACACCACTTGACTTGTGAAGAATGCGCTATATACATATCAGGCATACTTATTATTAACCCGTTGATTATATAACGTCCTGGAGAACTGCCACTCACTGTGTGTAGGGCGTAATATAACGCCTTGGAGGTATTTTCCCCAACCTATTCTTAGAACATAGTACATAGTTCTTTGTCACTTCGTCACTTCGTCAAATTAATTACACAATAGGGGGTAGTTAACGTTTTAAAAACGTCACGCTTAACGGGTTTATACAGTGTATTCATCTCAATCTGATTACACCACAGATCCAATTTCGTTTCGTTTTTTATAGTTCAAAATTTTGTTTTACTTGTCTTTACTACACTAGGATCTGGAGGAGTGGTTATATAACCTGCGTTCTGGATGGCGTGAGGGATTAACCAATGAAACCATCTGTTACGGCGTCTCCTTGGTGTGCGTAAACCACTAGAAACGTCAACGCTGATTGATTAATCAATGTCTGACGTCATAGGGTCAAAAGCCGCTTGTACTACCCCTGACACGACCTCTCAGTACAACTGGTCAGATCTTCGTGTAGTGTAGGCCATTGAAAGTATAAAAAAAACGAACCGAAATGAAATATAGATCTGTATTTAAATCAGATTGTATTCAGATTTATATTACCTTGTATTCATATTGATGTATATTTTAGACTGTTGAGACATCTTTGTATTTGTATATTTTCAACTGTTCGAGCTTTCTTGTTATTAATACAGTGTATTTGGATGTTTTAGACTGTTCAGGCATCATTAAAAGATGATCATGTATGGTGTATGGATGATCTGTTTCCTATATTTCAATTTGTTGTGGTTCGTGCCAAGATTCGTCACCTGGGAGCGGAGGTTCACATGATAGACGATCTCATGGAGACACACCTGGAGTTCGGGGAGCTGGGGATCATGTTCACAACTCTAAAGGTATGATAAACACCAGTCAGTCAAATAAAACAGTTTTAAACATCCTTGAGAAAATAGGGGAAGGTCTATGTCTCATCGGCAAAACAGTGTGAGTGGAAATCCAACAAACATCGATTGTAAATCTAGATTACAATGAAAATATATTTCATACCAAAAACATGAAACCTTTTTACATACTTCATTAGTGTTTTGCGAGAGTCTATCAGGATTATTGCCCTTATTGTTGAAATTGTTTCACAGTCTAACACATGAGGTCAACTGGCAGACTATCACCATTGAAGAGCTGAACACTGCCAAGATTAGTTGCATTATTTCTGTTACATCTCTTTTGAAAAATCTTTTTTTTTTTTATTTCAAGTATAACCTGTACCATTACAGGCACGAGACTGTACAACACAGTCTGATAATGTACATTTGTTTATGATTTCTATTTATTTGTGTCTTGTCCGTAGATTTGTTTTTTTGTAATTATGTGTGTTGCAGTCGGACTGCACTTACTGCTAATAGAGAGAAATAAATAAAAAGAGGATTTTCTGTACCAACTAGGCTGATGATGAAATGGGGTTTAACGTCCTACTGTTCTGCTCCGAACTGGGCTAATGAAGACGGGCATACGCCATACAGTGTGCCATGAGGGAAATTTTGCCCGGACAGCGGCACTACTGCCTACTCTTACTGTCAACTGTCAAGGGATCTTTGACGTGCACGCCAATGTGTACACGGGACCTCGGTTTTTCGTCCCATCCGAATGACTAGACAGCTGTCCTTGTCAGGCCCCCCGTCCTGCATCACAGACAAGGGGGAACCAGGCCCTCCATCTGCATCACAGACAAGGGGGAACCAAGCCGGAAAATCCGGATGAACTTTCTCGGCCAATGCAGGGATCGAACACCCGACCTCCAGGCTAGCGAGCCAGCATCTTACCCACTTATCCACGTGATCCCCAACATGTTACATACCATAGTGTCTTCTTTTAGGGAAATTGGTCAAATAAACTGTCATGATTTCTTGTATGCTCTTTCATCCCATCTGAACAACTAAACACTTTCCTTGACAAGCCCTACGTTGTGCACCACTTACATGGCAACAAAATCTTGAGGTCTTTTACGTCCAATACTAGGACTGAATCCAAAACCTCCTGATAAGTGGATCAACGCTCTATTCGATGTTTATTGTTTATTGTTTACATGTTTACTGTAAGTAATGATGCCCGAACCATGCTGAAAAATCCTGAGGAACGCATAATTACCTAATCTATCCTGCCTATTATCAATGATAAATGTGATGAGGAGTAATTATACAGTCATACAGTCAATATATTTTTGAAATTTGAATATTATTGATATCTGATTGGGCATATTCCTGGTCGGACATTTGAAAAGTCGCACTGGACATGTCCGGATTATACAGGCCTAGTAACATCCCTGCTGGGGAACCATTTATCTCCTGGCTGGTTGACCAATAAACAACAGACCTTTGATTTGGTGAGTTCATGTATGGAAAAATATCAAAATGTCATTTGATTTTGTTGAATGTTTTACGTTTTGGTTGGATATCTCAAACTGTTTTTCACATTTCTTTAACCTTTTTTTTTTCAGGCGTGTTATTTTCAGATTCAAAATGAAAAAATACAACATCACTGAAAACTGTCAATGTGTAAAAACAACACAAGATGGATCCAGACAACTCAGTCTATTTATAACCCACAGTTGTAATATATACGCTTAAAGAAATGATACTTCTGCTTATTCTACGATAAAATGATTATTTAACATTTAATTACGCGAAAAGAGAGAAACATAGATCAAGTAAAGTGTACTATTTACATAAAAGGGGTAGCATTGATGATGGAATTTCCATTTCATCATAAAGGGGTAGCAGTGATGATGGAATTTTCACTTTATCATAATAGGTGGCATTGATAGATGGAATTTCCACTTATCATAATAGATGGCATTGATAGGTGGAATTTCCACTTTTTTCATAATGGGTGGCATTGATAGATGGAATTTCAACTTCATCATTATAGGTGGCATAGATAGATGGAATTTCCACTTCATCATAATAGGTGGCATTGATAGATGAAATTTCCACTTCATCATAATGCGTAGCATTGATAGATGGAATTTCTACTTTATCATAATAGGTGGCATCAATAGATTTAATTTCCACTTCATCATAATGGGTGGCATTGATAGATGGAATTTCCACTTCATCATATCTTTGTAAACATTGAATGTAATGGGGCCATTTTTGGACAGATATTCCTATAAAAGATTCACGATTTCCTTTATAGATTCTACTTTTATAATATTGTAGTTTGCAAGAGTTTCTTATATCGCTAAAATTATGCCCAGATAATTTGTAGAAAGCAAAAGAACTAAATATCACCTTATTTAATTGTGGAACTCTGCCCCCAGACCTTGCCATAGATGAATTTGTGGAAAGTATCCCACGGAATAATATTGTCAGTGATTGTTTTCCATGACTTTAAAAAGATTTCAGGTTTATTGTGCTGTATACATAAACTATGATAAACAACAACAGATCATTGCAGATGTGTCTTGTATGAAAAAATAGAAAGCCAGCAATGAAAAAAACAGGAGAATTCAGGAGATGTTTTTATTCATCATTAATACTATATTCACAAGTTTTTAGCACTTTATAAAATTGTAAAAAGATGTCACATTACTTGAATCCATAGCTTTACCAATTCTATTATGCTTTTTATACGCCCACATTGAAATGTGGTCGTATATTGTCGTCGCCCCCGTCCGTCCGTCCGTCCTTCCGTCCGTCGGTCCGGCGTCCACAACTGCTTGTGGACGCTCTAGAGGCTAAAATTAATATCCGATTGACTTTAAATTTATATACAGTGTTTAAGGCCATGAGACGAAGAAGCCTATTGATTTTCAGCGATTTCTGATAATTACTGCCAGAGTTATGGCCCTTGATCACTTCAAAAAACCTTGTGGATGCTCTAAAGGCTAAAGTTAATATCTCATTGACTTTAAATTTATACACAGTGTTTGAGGTCACGAGGCGAAGAATCCTATTGATTTTCAAAAATTTCTGATAATTACTGCCAAAGTTATGGTCCTTGATCACTTTGAAAAATCTTGTGAACGCTCTAGAGGCCAAAGTTAATATCCGATTGACTTCAGATTGATACACAGAGTTTAAGATCTTGAGGCGAACAAGAATATTGATTTTCAATGAATTTTTATGACTTGGAACAGCTAAATCCATGATACAGTATTAAAAGTTTTGTATACAAAACGTTAGCATGGGGCAGAACTTTATAAAAACCAAACAAAGTCTAATGGTTTTCTGAGTTGTTGCTCTTAATCAGATTTTAGTTTATTATGAATGTTTCATTACCGCAAAAAGTAAAAATATGCGACAACTCTTGTTGACTGCCCAGACGATTTAGCTGCTGTGGGCGTATGTTTCGTTGCCTGGCAACCTATCTTTGTAAATTGGATATGCCACCAGAAGCTATATTTATTGTAGTATTGCATAACGCTTGTTTCTTTTTTGATGGATACAGCAAACGGAAATTCTTTTCCCTGGGATTCTAATAATTTACACATGTAACGTTTTCTTGTTTGTGGGTGAATTGTCAAAATCGCAGAGATGTTTGCTCGCCATGATGAAAAATGGAACAATCCTTGTACACTTCACTATCATTGCCTAGAATTAGATATATTAGTGCTAGAAGTTATAATATTATTTATCTCTCTTTTAATGATTTGATTACCTCACATTCTTTAATGTAAAAAAGGCCCAGAGTGGTTGTTTCTAGGCCCTGTGTGGTGGTTTCTAGGCCCTGGGTGATTGTTTCTAGGCCCTGGGTGGTTGTTTCTAGGCCCTGAGTGATTGTTTCTAGGCCCTGGGTGGTTGTTTCTGGGCCCTGTGTCGTGGTTTCTAGGCCCTGAGTGATTGTTTCTAGGCCCTGAGTGATGGTTTCTAGATGCTGAGTGATTGTTTTTAGGCCCGAGTGGTGGTTTCTAGGAACCACTCCCGAGGCCCTGAGTGGTGGTTTCTAGGCCCTGAGTCGTTGTTTCTAGGCCATGAGTTTTTGTTTATTCTAGGTCCTGTATCAAGGCCTTGTTCTGTATATGTTTGTATCTATAAGTGATGTTTGATTACCCTGTCATATATTGTCTATTTTATCATGTAAAAATATCATTCATTATCGTTATACTCCAAATGTCATTCATTATTATATATTCAACATTTATTTTTATTCTCCACAAATAGCAGTCAATACGTGGTTTGTCAAATATCTCAACATTGACTGATTTATCAAGTTTTTAATTAAACAAGGATCTCTATTTCTATTTCCAATTTAAAATATTTTGATTTTAAAAACTTCAACTTACAATTTTAAAACCTATCAGACATTTTCTTTGTTGTTATTCTGTATAAAATATTGTAAATATTATGTTTATTTATTCCTGTCAGCAATATATTTCTAATTTGTAAATCCATTATTAGTTGTTTGGTGTAGGGATAAACTTTTAACTTACAGCAAATCATATTCATATGATGTCTCTTTCAGCTTGTGTAGGCATATTCTTTAAACAGTTGTGGTAACGAGTTTTTGTCAACTCATGAACCATTGCTATGTCCAACATCTATTACATATATGGCCTGTTGTTTTAGTTGGCTCACCAGCTTGGCTTGTCAGCTATAAGCTAAATTATACTAAACATCTTAATTCAAACGGGCAACTTATAATAAGCTTTATGGTCATACCCCCAGCAGTGTTTCGTTTGATTAGAACTAATCCCCCTAAACACTGCTTTAATGGAAACAAATTTCTGTTCCAAATTATGACTGGTTAATAGTACGATTAACAACCAATAGCTTACTGTGTAACAATTTGATTACGCTTTTAACATAGCTCCACATTGGACCAGCTCCACATTGGACCAAATATGTTTACATCACGGTACATCATGACTCAAGATTTTATTATGCCCAATTAACCAAACCATAGCAGAATATTGCAGAAAAACTAATTGCGTGACAAACGAGGCTATCAACATTGATACAATGTAAACAATACTGTTTGGAGACGAACAACACTTTCACCGTTTTTAATACCTTAAATCATTACGCAAAGTTTTAGGGAAGACCCCAGATTAAACGAAGGGCTGTCATGTTGCTGTACTTGGGATAGATTTGATTGAACGGGAAGAATAGACAAAATCCCTCAAAAGCTCAAGTATCAGAAGCCAATCCAGCAATGGCCAGAGAGGGATTTCTTGGGCCATTGCTTCAGGAATATGCTTTATGGTAATCATTATAAGGTTATGAATCCCCATTTAATTTCATTTTAATTTACCCTGTAGCAATGGTTAATGAGATGATTATGTCCACAACCGTTACTTCAGCACATTTAAGCACTTATTTTCCACTTATATATCCTTGGGTAGTTATATTGTCCTTATTTATTGCCCATTTCCTTGTAATATTTTTTGTATTTTCATCATTTTTATATTACGTCTAATTACTGTAAGTATTTTATAAGACATATCCTTGAGTATTGCCCATATCCTTGAGTAGTGCCCGTATCCTTGAATTGTTGCTCATATCCTTGAGTAATGCCCGTATCATTGATTATTGCCCATATCCTTGATTATTGCCCATATCCTTGAATTATTGCCCATATCACCGAGTATTGCCCGTATCATTGATTATTACTGTTAATTTTGTATTTTAATCAGTATGGGATAAGGTTTGCTTTTAGTTTATGTGTCGTCATGGTTAACATGAAATAAAAGATATAATAATAGACCTCATTGTTTTTTAATTTTGTACAAATTACATGTATTACATAAATTTGTTTTTCTTTCTTCGAGTTTCCTTGAGTTGACTTAATTTTTCAACCTCGCTTGTAATAATGTATCTTGTCAGCAGGGGCGGATCTAGGGGGGGGGGGGGGGTTGGAGGGCCCCCCCATCCCAACTCATCTAGATAAAAAACAATTGTAAAACAAAACTTTTGATGAGAATAGTGTAAAGGCCGTGTGCTTTATCCTTTATCATCAGATGGTGGAGTGGGATTGGCATTCAAAACGCCAGATAATGATATAGTGTTACACAATTGAGGAAATATCAATTTACACCTTACTTACATTAGCAATTTTATCAGATTAACAGAAGATGAGTATCATCTGGCACTGACTTGACACGGTGAACAGCTGTGCGAATGTCGTTAACTGAAGTCATTAATCATCACAGCTGACCCGAGTTACGCAAGGTCTTGGAATGATAAAGCAACCTGTACAGGAAGCTTCATCTGTTTATTATATAATGACCAGCTGTAATCTCCGGCCATAATTGAATCTGAAATATAATACCTGGCCATAGCGGATTGGTCAATGACTATCTGGCCGATCGGGCATCCACCCACCCACCCCAGACTGATACTGACCAATCAGGTCACGGTGCATGGGTGTGGTTTCCAAATTCAAGGCTAGACCTCGATCCGGCCCAGTAATATATAAATTCAAACTAAATGTTTTATCAACAATCCGGCCCAGAGAGCCGAGCTGGGAACAAGACTGCTACTAGATGAAACACCTGTAACTTAAGTATTGTAGTACGAGTATTGTAAATATGTTTATAGCAGAATAAAAAGTATTGTATGAACCTGAAACTAGTCTTGTCATCCGAACCTGATTAAAGAACCAATACTGTCACAATAGACATATGCGGTATCACAATTAATGCTTTGTACCAATGAAATTGAATCACAATGTGATCCTATTAATTCATTGTAAAAATTGACATCAAACGTTGTGTTGGATTTCTCTCTTTAAAAAGTTCAGTGTGTTTGTATGCCTACGTAATTTAGAGACGATGATGCCATCACGCATTGTAAAATGTCAAATTTCTTTAACAGGAATCTGGCAAACCCCCTCTTGCAAAAATTCCTGGATCCGCCCCTGGTCAGCTGGGCTATTCAGAAGTGTCGCTAGTCATTCGGATGATACCAAAACCTGATTGTCACCCTGACGGAGTTCGATAAGAGCAAATTACTTCAACCGATAGTGGTCTAACGCATGCGCTTTAGGTCATAAGGCCCGCTATTGATTCCACACATGTTCGTGGCAAGGAGTATGGTCGCCTGCATAACCTTGGGGTTTTCTCCTGGTCTTTCGGGTTCCTCCCACTGCTAAAGACGTCTGCGCCTTGTGTTAAAGAGAGAGAGGTGGGGTTTAAAGTCCACTCGACAGAAACTAGGTCATTTCGGGACTAACATATGGTTTAATTTTATTTCAATAATTCGCTTGCGCATAGGGGTCTTTAGCAGTGGGAGGACCCGGAGAAAACCCACGAGGCTGGACAGGCGACCCTACTCTTTGTCACGTACAACCGGGGATTCGAAACCACGCCAGTCGACTCAATGACAGACTTTATGATACAGCGCACGCACGCTGACCATTCAGCCATCCAACCCCCTTTATGTGTTGGATGTTTACATGTCGTCTGTATGCTTGTGCATGACAAGGAGTACGGTCGCCTGCCCAATGTCGTGGGTTTTTTCCGGGTCCTCCGCTTTCATTCCACTTCTAAAGACCCCTACGTGCAAGTGAATTAGTGAAATAAAATTGAACCATGTTAGTCCCGAAATGACCTAGTTTGTATTGAGTGGACATTAAGAGCCTTCACTTTATTTCCATTTCCAAAACTGCCAGACGACACTTGGTTTTTTTTCGTACATTTCGTACAGTCGAGTTTAATTCGACTTTAGCGTACAACAGATGTCATCAAAAATACTGCTTAAGAAGACCTCCGACTCTTCCTTCCTACCTTAGGATGAGTTAATTCGACTTCCGCCTACAATATTAATTTTTTTCCTTAAAAGTTGGGGCCAAAGGTGAAATTGCCAAAACTGTCGATTTAAGTCAACTTCAGCCTACAAATATCACCCTTCCTGCCTTTGTAAACTTACCTCAGATGACATCAAAAACTCTGCTTAAAGGGCCAATCCCGATAATATTTTAGAGAATAAAACTGCTTAATTTTGTGTTAAAATCCCATAAAATCCTCTACCTTAGAGCCGAGCAACTAACTCAACATATGTGATACGTTTTCATTCTACTTAAACCTGTCCGTCTTCATCTGGAAATGGAGACCGGTGTCTGGATAAAAACAGACTTAATTTATAAAAACAATGTGTAGGTGAAATTTAACTTTCGTTATCAAGTACAGCACATATGAGTCATTCATTGTATAGACCTCTAAAGGAACGGAAATCGATTATCATGTCACCTAACTAAAGAATTGACCCGAAATCTTAAAAGTGTTACGTATCCGGATAAGCTAGTTTTGACGTTCACGTCCACATGACTCAATATTTTGAGCTGAAATTTTAAGACATGGTAATTACATCATTCCTCTATAATTTGGCCCTTAAATTTCATACGTACTCCGACTTTTATTTTTGAGGCTCTGTTCAAATCGGGATGGTCCCTTTAAGTAGATCCCCGACCAATTCTTCACTCCTTAAGAGCACCCCCTTTACCCCCATCAGAGATGAGTTAATTCAATTTCCGTGTTCAACATTAAACGTTTCACTATTAGTCCACGGGTTAGTACGGGTTTTGTATAGCGCGGCTCTCGGAGAAGGGAGCCGAGTTAGTTGATGACCCTATAAAAGCTCCTGACGTCCATTCTGTTTCACAAAAATACAGTCTGTTGGATTCGTCGTCAAAACTTATGATTTTCCAAGATCTTCCAGAGACAAGCCTGGAAATAAGGCACCTGTCAGATACAGGCTTTGTCAGGCACTAAACTTCTGGTGCCTGTCATTTTGTCCGGCACTGATTTGTCTTTTTTATTGATATTATCAATACATGTCTGGTACTTGGTTGAAAATGTCAGGTAGGCTACTATTTCATTGGTGTCTGACATTTTATCAGGTACATGTAAAACCGTTATTTCCAGGCCTGACTAGGGACTCCAATGAATTGCTCTCGTACTGTGCTACACTCAAGGGAAGAAGCCTTGATTTGATAGTTCTTGAAACCCGTATTCGACAAATTTCTACACCACTGGATACATGACGATTACATCACTACAAGTTGATCCCATTAGTCCTTTGATCAAGCAATGCCTGGAATTCACATATGTTACATGGGGGTAAAAACTATTATGGACAGATCCATGGTTTACCGATGACACAGTGAAATTTCATTACGGCTTAATGTGGAGTTCAATGTATTTGTGCTGTCAAGTGACGATTTGGTTATTAAATGGGCAGTGAAGTTTTTAGGGGGGGGGCACAGTCTACAGTAGGTATTTTAGAGCTATGCTCGGCAAATTTATTATCGGTTGGTGAAAAAAATGTTTTGTCGTCATGAATAAGGGGAGGTAATTCCCTACATGTCTGTCGTGTGGATGCAGACCATCATTAATTTCCCCATTGACTTCAATGTTAATTTTGGCCTCTTTGCCCACCTCCAACTTTTCCCAAAATGTTCGTTGGGCTGAATGCTTTTCACTATAGACAGAGTAACAATGGCCATGTCTTTGAACTAAAATTTGTATGAGGTTGACCACCAAAATGTTAAGATACATAAACTTGAAGAAGCATACGAAAAATATGTAACTAGTTGCCGTACATATCACCGTAGCCAACCTGATAACCCTGTTATCCTTCCGCCTCAAAATCATGAATATTTACCAATACCTGGCAGAAAATGTTAATTTATGCCCACTGCGTCCATTCTAGACCAAAAAATCAACAAAAATGGGCATGTAAACGGGGAGGAAAGAGACAGAGAGAGAATTGCTATAAATAGACGAACTACGGGTACCGAGATGGTGAAATTTAATGGTGGTCTGCCTCCGTGTCTTTTTCAGACATGAATTAACAAGTTGCCACCAGTTTTTGTTACCAAAGTTTTCCTTGTCGTTAATTTTGTCGTCAAGTTTTGTAAAATATTCGCGTTTGCATTTTCGTATAAAATCAATATAGTTATTTCTAATGGTTCTGTAATCCTTTACTGCTTTTTTGTGAAGTCTCTTTTTCTTTTTACCCATTTTCCTTATATTTTTATTCATTCATGGCTGGCCCCTTGGTCTAATATAGTTACTAATTTGTGTGGAATGTGTCTTTTGGCATGACTTTTCAATTCATTTGTGAAATTATTACAAGATATATTTATACGATTAGTGTCGATAGAATTGTCTCAGTCGGTGGATAACACATCCTGTCTCAGTCCTTCCCTCATAGTTGATATTTTTGTATTCTCGCATAGTTCTTTTATAACATCTTGTTTTAGGATTTTGGAAACATTAATCAACAGTACACAGGGCAGTGGTCGCTACAGAAGTTGTCTAGACGTCGTGAAACCTTAAAAATTGGTTATAATCAAGTACATTAAAGGTTTAATTCCTTTACTGTCGTATCTTGTAGGCTTGTTTATAAGTTGATTTAATTATAGGCTTGACATTTGAACAATAAAAATTGTCTAAATAATAATAAATAATAATATCAGGTTTAAAGCCACAAGCAAAACCTGCAATAGTGAATGAATATAACTGGTGTGTTCTGTGTGATGGGCTTTTAAAACCATCAACTAGCAAACTGATTGTTTTCATTTCTCAATACACTTTGTTGATACATATTAAAAATACATTATGCAAGAGCTAAATCTGTCTATTGCAGGTCTTTCTTTACGCCTGCAATGTTATCTAAATTATTAATTAGGCATTAATTAACTTATCCAGTCCATAATCAACTCTCGAACCGACTTTAGTAATGATGATCGAGGCTAGGCCGAAAATTCAATCGCTAAAATCTCGGTTCAGAGTGGATCAATTTGACTGAAATTTTCAACAAATTCTCTTTACATTATCTAGTTTTTAACTATTATAGTGAGAACTGCCATCTCTTTATCTAATCTTCCATAATGTATCTTTAAAAAAGGAAGCTTACACATAATGTTCCCTGGTTGCACGGTTTGGTGCATTATTTAGATTTAATCTAATATTCGTAGTAGGCACGCTAGATATATTATTTTACACAGTTTAACGGTCTGATGTATTATTTATTTTAATATAATATTATCCGTATAGATCAGCAGTTTTCTACACGAGTTTATTTTTTCAATCTAACACCCTGTATTACATGCAATAATATCTGGCAAAATATCCCCCAAAATATCTATAAATAGATTATAAATACGTCACACATAGTTGATACATGTACACAATAGATGATGAAACCTGTGCTGCAGCACGTATTTAACTTACTTCCCAGTCGAGTCAGATGTTGAATGTCTTGAAGTAGGTGATATCTTAACCCAGTTCATCCGTACAAATATCCTGAAGATTAGATTTGGATACTCTGAATTTGGTACGTTGGTGTTTTTTTTTTTTTTGTGGGGGGGGGGGGGGTCTGAAAACAAACTCATGATGTTGGTATTCTCTGAAATCAACTTAATTTGTTAAAATTCTCTAGGTATAATAATATACTGTTTCAAGACCGCACCACAGATCACAGTTGCCTAGCAATACAGATCACTGTTGCCTAGCAATACAGATCACTGTTTCCTAGCAATACAGATCACTGTTGCCTGGAGATACAGACACATTAGATAAAGTGAGTGGATTTTATGCCGTTCTGATCACTTATTTGCGAGAATTTTAAGTACTGATGACACGTTATAAACACAGTGGATCAGTTAAATTATGAAGATTGGGGGCCAACCCTAAAAAGAATTGCTAGACAAGGGGTTTTGATGGTTTGTTGTGGCATAGGCGTACGAGCGGGGGGGGGGGGCTGGCTGACTTTTCGGACAGACGGGTAAAGTGAAAACAAAAATTATATTGGCAAAATAAATTGACCGAAATCTGATGAAGACACTAATTTTACTTTTCTTTTAATTGAATACCACGACTTTGTACTGAATTTGTGACACTCTGGGGACACGTACTCTAGCTGTGTCCGGACGAATAAATCTGCTGTGTCACACTGTCGTGTGTCTAAGTAGGACTAGCCGTTGTGATAAATAAGACTTCAGACTATTTTCTGTTCTCTGGAAATATCTTTCTTAGACTTGACTCACGGTTCCTGCTACCAGTTATTTCTGGAAGAGGGCTACTGTTGTGTCATGATTCGTTAAAAATGATATCCTATTACGTTAACGACATTAGGTCAGAGGTCTCCGCACCTTTGGTACAGTGCAAATTAGGGTTTATATAACGGCGTGCTGTAATGCAGCTCTTGCCCAAACATAGTCAAGGATCCTCCCTAATAGTTGAAGCCCCTAACATTTTTATATAAATTGGACCAGCGCGTTTTCCCGGGAGACGGTTGGGTGAAATAGCCAGGGTAGACATCATAGGTTTTAATCGTGGTTAACGTTTAAATACCTAAAGAACAATAGCTGTGTCGATGGTTATAGTTCTTGAGAGCAAATATTTATCGTTATTCGGGAATCACGTGGCTAAGTGGGTAAGACACTGACTCGCTAGCCTGGAGGTCGGGTGTTCCATCCCTGCATTGGTCGAGAAAGTTCATCCCGATTTTCCGGCGTGGTTTCCCCTTGTCAGTGATGCAGGACGGAGGGCCTGACAAGGACAGCTGTCTAGTCGTTCGGATGGGACGGAAAACCGAGGTCCCGTGTACACACGTAAAAGATCCCGTGGCAGTTGGAATTCGATATAAGAGTAGGCAGTAGCGCCGCGGCCCGGGCAAAATTTTCCTCATAGCACACTGTATGGCGTATGCCCGTCTTCATTTGCCCAGGTTAGGAGCAGAACTGTAGGACGTTAAACCCCATTTCAATTCATTTCATTTCCTCCTTCGACCGAGAAAAAATCAAAATATCGTCTATATAAGCGACGACAAAGTGCTCGAGACCTTGTAAACAAATGGTCATTAAGTTTGAAAAGATACTCGGACAATTATTAACACCGAATGGCATAATATTGAACTAAAAAAAAAACCTTTGTGACACACAAACGCTGTTTTTTCTTTATCTTTCTCATCGACCAAAATTTGACAATATCCAGATTTCACATCTAACGTCGTAAAATATGCTGATTTATTCAAATCGCGTATATGGTCGTCGATCAGGGGGAGGGGGAAGGCGTTGGCCTTTGTTTTGTTCCGTCTTTCTTATCAACTATTACAATGGAAGACTGGACGCTGAACGACTGACAATGCCAGCGGTGAGCATATCATCAACAGCTTTTTCAACGACCGGTCGTTTATTCATAGGAGTACGGTAAGGTCGATATTTTATGGGTGGATGTTCACCGGTATCAATGGTCATTTTAATCGTATCTGTATGACCTAGCTCTATATCGTATGCCGCTAATAGATCCTGACCTTTCTTTAAAACTGATAGCAAGTTACTCCGTTCGTCGTCTAGGACTTGAACAGTAGCGAATTTATCATCTAGTACTCTCTCAGTTGGCATAGGTGTATGTCTCAATGTATCAGAAACAGAATTAACGTTGGCCATATACAAAGGTAGTACGCGCCCAATTAAACAACCTCGTTTTAGACGGAAAATCTTATTTGTGTTATTAACAATGAGTATAGGTTTTCTTTTGCCGTTGTGTCTAGCTTTACTCAAAATAAATAAAGAATTAGCAATCATCAATCCAGGTTCGGTAGTCGCGTAACCTGTTGAAAAACTTTCGATCTCAAACAAATCTCACTTAGATGTTATATAGCTATGAGACTTTAACTTTGCATTACATATATTTTTATACGTCCACATGAAATGTCGTCGCCCCTGTCCGTCCGGACGTCTTTCCGTCCGGACGTCTTTCCGTCCGTCCGTCCACAATTTGTTTGTGGACTCTCTACAGGTCACAATTCTTGTCCGATTTTGACGAAACTTGAAATATAGGTTTATCCCCAAACGATCTCGGCTGCTTTCGATATTGGCATATATCGGATAGAAACTTCATGGATTATGGCCCCTGTTTGTACGAGAAATCACGTTTTTAGCTTGTGGACCCTATAGAGGTCACAATTGTTATCCGATTTTGTTGAAACTTGAAATGTAAGTTTATAACCCAAAGATCTCAGTTCCTTTTGATATTCGCGCATATCGGACCGTAACTTCCTGAATTATGGCCCCTGATTGTACGAAAAATCGCGTTTTTAGCTTGTGGACCCTATAGAGGTCATAATTTTTATCTGATTAAAAAACCGTATTATAATATCACCATTACACCCTAAGGAAGGCTGAGTTCGAATTTCGTGAAAATTGGACCAAAATTGCCGGACAAAATGGCCGCCGTTTGTATGCGAATAGTGTAAAAATATGGTTAATCAAGGTTGTGGACCCTGTATGGGTCGCAATTTTAATTCGATTTTGATGAAACTTGAAATGCATGTTTATAATCTAAAGATCTTGGTTCCTTTCGATATTATCGCATATCGGATCGTAACTTCCTGAATTATGGTCCCTGATTATACGAAAAATCGCGTTTTTAGCTTGTGGACCCTATAGAGGTCATAATCTTTATCCGATTTAAAAAAACGTATTATTATATCACCGTTACATCCTAAGGAAGGTTGAGTGCGAATTTGGTGAAAATCAAACCAAAACTGTCGGACAAAATGGCCGCCGCTTGTACGCGAAAGGTGTAAAAATAGAGTATATCAAGGTTGTGGACCCTGTAGAGGTTACAATTTTAATCCGATTTTGATGAAACTTGACATGCAAGTTTATAACCCAAAGATCTTGGTTCCTTTCGATATTTGCGCATATCGAATTGTAACTTCATGAATTATGGCCCTTGATTGTAGGAAAAATCACTTTCTTTTTAGCTTGTTCTCTATCCATCTCTCAAAAATGTGGGCGTATCCTGCCTGGCAGCCGCTGGTGTTTGAGGTTTTAATACCACTCCATCTGCCATTCGCAGTATTAAAGAAATGTGGATGTCTTCTTCAAGGGAAACAAATGTTTTTTCCTACTCCAAGACAACTTAAATCGTAATAGAGCCTAACACCATTCTCAATTAACCAATCTCTACCTAATATTAGATACCTATTCATATTGGTAACAACGTGAAAAGTGTGATTTAACTTTAGCCCCTTCATTTCGAAGTCTAACTAAACGGTATATTTAATTGATCGCCGTTTACAGATTGTAATAATATTTTATTTTTATTTATTTTTGGCTTATTATTTAACGAATTATGAATTCGAGCATGGACTAAGGAGACTTAGGCTCCACTATCAACTAGGACTCGATGTTTGTGGCTGCCTATTTTTATTAAACAAGAACTAGTGCTACCTACCAAATTTATGTGAAACAATGGTGCATAAGCTGAACTCTTTTTGTCGGCTCCACGAAAAGAGTTTAATGGTTTCCGTGGTTCCCTAACGGACGTGTTTGAAAAAGTCTCTTTCTTTCATCTAAGGGTGGGTTTCTTTTCATATATTGGAGGTACCTCCTACCATCTCTCTTGTAGTGTCCCGTGATCCCACAGAACCAACAGTCCCTAAGAATTTTGGTTTTTATGCTGTCGTTAACCATACCGTCAATGAAGAAGTTAATTAGCTGCCTATCTATTTCCGGCTCCGCATTGTAATTAGTGAAAGCCTCATTCGCCAACTCCAGCAATCGTTCTGCATAGACCTGTACATTTTCCTCGGGTCTTTGCTTAATTCTCCTTAGCAACGACAGAGCTTGTTGTGGATCGGTTATTTCGGCGAATGTATTTGTCAGCTCTGTTTTTAGCTGATCCCATGTCGCGTCTGGGGTTGCAGTCAGGTATCTCTGAATGAAATTACTTACCACTCCTACTCGCCTGAAAAGCGACAAGCTTAACCCTGTTTTGCGCTATTGTTGCCAAAAGACTATATTTTTCTATATATTTTATCCAATCTCGAAAACGTTCTTGGATCGCCATTATAAGGTTCAATAATATTTGCAACAGAATTTGTTGACATCGCTGAAGACAAATCCACCAATTGAGCTATTAAATTTTGATAAAATGCTTCAGCCATTGTTTATTCGAGATAAGTAGACAGAGAAAGTAACTTACTTGACTGTAAGATCCTTGGTCGTGACTGCACCAAAAAAGACAATGTGACACTCTGCGGACACGTACTCTGTGTCCGGACGGCCATATCTTCTGTGTTATATATTTAAAGTAGCTAAGTCTCTAACTCAATATCATCAAAAATTTTCGACATTGAAAACACGAATTATTTGTCAATTCAAATCAGCATTGGTCTTCGGATCTTACAGGGAAAAGATGGGCTTCTGATATCCAATATTCAAGACAAAATAAACATTTTACCATTGGTACACGAATCGTGTACCATAATGCGTTTCAGCGCCATTTCGAACAAGGGACCCAAAGAACGCGGCTAGACATATTCCACAAGTCATGTCAAATGGTGACGCTATATTCTTATCTGGAGAGCATGCGCAATAAATATCATCGGTGTAGACTGGAATAACCAGACGCTAAATATTGCCATTCACATGAGATGATGTGTATTTCGCCGAACATAAATGATTAGAAATAACAGTAAAAACAGAAACGATTGAATGTAAATCAGTTTATATACATACACATTACATTATTATATGCGTTGCGACCTATTTGTGTCAATTTCTAGGTCCCAAATATTAGCGATTTAGCTCCTTTAAGTATATAAGGTATCATTATTTTAAAAAAACACAATTTATCACATTCCACCGAGTATAATGTGACCTTTTATTTAAAATTGACCTTTGATAAATTTATATATTTTCGCTTCAGCACCCCAACCAAAACCAAGCATGAATATGGACGTGGTTTGTGTTGTATTCGTCCTGGTTGTTCAAATGTTTAAGAATGGAGAGACCTCAAGTTCGAGATGTAAATATAGTGTAGATGAGCACCATACTGGAATCTCTGTGGACTGTTCTCATCACAATCTGACCTCTGTACCAGTCGATCTGCCTGCTAACACAACAACTTTAAATTTAAATCACAACAAATTTGAACATTTATTAAACCACCAATTCCTATATTTACACCAGTTAAAAAGTCTTAGTTTAAATTCCAACCCGTTGTATGATATTCAAGAAGGCGCTTTTAATAATCTGACGTACTTGGTAGACCTTCAAATCATGGGGCATCGACTCAATTATTCTCTCCCCTCTCTACCCAGAGAAGTTTTTATTCCGTTGATGAATCTGAAGACCCTGACTCTTCGAACCAATTACTACGGCTCAAGGTCGCACTTAATTTTACCCGATGAACCCATCAGTTATTTAACAAATTTGATAACTTTAAATATTGACACAGGAGACACAGTTGAATTTGGAACAGGATTTTCACAACTAAAAGCTCTATCAGAATTAATATTATCAAATTATGTCTTAGACAACCAAATTGTGTCTTGTCCACTAAAGCAGATTTATGATAGCACATTTTCGGTGTTTCAAAATATCTCTATTGCTACCCTTGATTTAACAGGCTGTTTTCTTAATGAAATGGACAGGAATGTTTTTGCGCCGTTTAAACATCTGAAGAATCTTATCATAAAAGCTGACGTAAATACCAAGCTGGCTTTACCCGATGCTATCTCATCTTTACACGTATTTAGAAACAAAAGCCTGGAATCGGTAACAATAAACGGTGCTGCATCCAGACATTTGTTTACGACTACGGCGGGCTATTTTCTCACTCTTGACATATTGAAAGACATCTGCATTTCCTTCCTGGACTTACAACTCAATCAGATAAACATGGTGGAAACTTCTGATTTTTTTAAAAGCCCCCTTCCTAGATTAACACGGTGTTTAAAACATATTGATTTGTCCAACAATAAAATTGCTGCACGAATAAGTCCTGTGGAAATTTATTTAAGTTTTTTCCTTTTTCAGAATCTTGAGTATCTGGACATATCGGCCCAATCCATCGCTAATCCGTTAGACGACAAATCTAACTTTGAAGATTTGGAACACAATGACAGACATCATACGTACCCATTTGTTTTGCCGAGTAAGCTAAAGTATTTTTACTTTGGCGGTATTAATAGGATTGGCTTCGTTACTAATCTTATAATCACAGGAGGAACAAATATTGTTGCCCTGAACATGTCGTACAATTTTGCTGTTTTTTCGGACACAAACATAACGGGTATAATGAACCTACAGATTCTGGATTTAAGTGGCAATAGTTGCTTTTATATTGCTCAGTCGTTTTTTGACCGTGTTCCAAATTTAACCCAATTAAGACTTAGCAATACGCATTTGAATGTCGATGCGTTTTTCAATATCGGCAAGCGATTACTGCAGCCATTATCCAAATTAGAAAGGTTAGATCTAAGTAAAAATGCGCTGGGTATATTACCCCGTGATATATTTCAAGGATTGTCCAATTTAAAAGAAGTTTGGCTGTCTTATAATAATTTAATTACCATTCCCGCTCTGTCAGGTCTGCCCAGGCTGCAGCAGATTTATCTGAGTAAAAATTCCATAGTAACGATAGACGAAGACACTAGAAAAACTCTGGATGAACTCACATTAAACGGACATAAACTTCACCTTTCTATATCTGGAAACATGTTGTCTTGTAATTGTGAATCGTTGAGTTTATTACAGTGGCTGAATCAAACCCACGTTAACTTGGACGGTGGAGATTATCCGTGTATTAGTTTCCAGGGAATAAAAACAACTACCGGAATCGTTACCAGGCGATTCCATTCTTTATACTTACATTGCTACTCCTATTTGTGGCTCACTATTGCTGTAACCGGAATGAGTGTACTTGTGATCGCATTGCTGGTATCTTTTGTATTCGTTAAAAATAAACTAAAGATAAAACTAATTTTGCTACGAATGATCGGGCGATATGTGAAAGCCAAGAAGCGAGAAGAGTTCCTGTATGACGTATGTGTTCTGTATGCTGATGACGTGTACCAATGGGTGTGTCACACTCTTCGTGACGAGTTAGAAGTGCGACGGGGATTAAAACTTTATCTTCGTGACAGAGATGAAGCCCTTGGGGCTGATAAACCAACTGAATTATACAACACCATGGAGTCTAGCTGGAAAGTTTTTCTTATTTTAACTCCTGGATTTCTGGCTTCTGATTTCTCATCGTCCACGATGGCTATGTGTTTATCGTTTATAACATTAACCACGCCCAACCGATTGAATTTAATTTTGGATGTTAATCTGAATATACCGACTAATATCGATTACTTTCTGGAGTCTGTTAATGAAGAAAATATTTACCGTTATGACATAAATCACATGGACGCGAATAACCCACATTTCTGGAATAAAATTTATCACGGAATAACGACCGTGGACAACAAATAACATAGTGATCAATCAGGGACGTGGAAATTATTTCAAATATAAATAAACAGTATTAGTTTTTTGTCTATTTCTAGAATATATAATGTTGTTTTTTTCTATTGATGACTTCAACACGTTACTTATTATTTTGTTTTACTTTTTGGGGGGTATTTCTAGAATTGTATGCTAAATATGTAGTGGAAAACAAATAGCCTAACATTCAGATGGAGAAAGACCTCAGATGGAATGGGGAAAGACCTCAGATGGAATGGGGAAAGACCTTTAGATGGAATGGAGAAAGACCTCAGATGGAATGGGGAAAGACCTCAGATGGGGAAAGACCTTTAGATGGAATGGAGAAAGACCTCAGATGGAATGGGGAAAGATCTTTAGATGGAATGGAGAAAGACCTCAGATGGAATGGGGAAAGACCTCAGATGGGGAAAGACCTTTAGATGGAATGGAGAAAGACCTCAGATGGAATGGGGAAAGACCTCAGATGGAATGGGGAAAGACCTCAGATGGGGAAAGATCTTTAGATGGAATGGAGAAAAGACCAATCAGGGGCGTGGTAGAAAGATAAATAAAAACTATTATTTTTCCTTTTGGTGTTTATTTTTATTTCTTAGACCGAAATAGCTTTTTTGTCTTTTTCTAGAATACAATTTTATTGATTAATTACTTAAAAACGTTACTTGTTACTTTGTTTTACTTTTTGGTGGTATTTCTAGAAAAATATATATTTGGAGTGCACGTATTTCTAGAATTGTATACTAAATATATTTTAATACATTTTAGTTATTAAGTTAGAAAGGTTTTTTTTATTTTTTTTTTTACTTTTGTATTTCTAAAATTATTGTATATTAATTGTATTTTGAAATGAAATAAAAGGGGGTTTGACGTGGCAGTGTGAAGTTAGCTCGATATTCATTTCGTGTTTTGCTATTGGTGAATAACGAAAAAAAAAGTAGCTCGTTTTTGGATATTCAGATCTGAATCTAAAAAAAAAAAGACTTTATTAGCTCGCTTTTGGATATTAAGATTTGAATCTAAAAATAACACAGATGTCTCCCAAACACATTTTATTAAATCAGCTCTCTAAACCAACTAAAGAAATCAGCCGTGGATTCACATGAAATGTGTTTCTCAGTTATTCTCTGTTCATCCATGAATTTTTTTTTATATTCAAATCTGAATATCGAAACACGGGTATTTTGTTTTTTGTTGTTCGCCCTACTCACCCCGTCCCCATCCCCACACCTCTTTACCGAAAACCTGGTCAATGCAATAGGGGCTATACATGTAACGATGTACTTCTCTGTTTAGTGTATCGGAGTCATTACGCACAAATGTGCGACAGAGATTTGGGGTAAATAGCTACCTTACACTTAAAAAAAATAAAATGAAATGAAATGGGGTTTAACGTCCCACTGGAGGTCGGGTGGTCGATCCCTGCATTGGCCGAGAAAGTACACCGCGATTTTCCGACGTGGTTTTCCCCTTGTCAGTGGTGCAGAAAGACGGGCCTGACAAGGACAGCTGTCTAATCGTTCAGACGGGACGAAAAACCGAGGTCCCTTGTATACATTGGCATGCAGGTAAAAGATCCCTTGGCAGTTGGAATTCGATATAAATTTCCCCAATATGTAGCACACTATATCCGTATGCCCGTCTTCATTAGCCCAGTCGTAGTAGAACATTTCTCATGATCATCCGTGCACCCATCCCAGATAACATCACAGTAATCAAAATGAGGTTAAACGAAGGAAGTGTATAAAGTCTGCAGGGTGTTTCGATTCAGCCTATATTTGAGTGACCATAAGGAGTTAATTAGTTTGCTTATTTCATTAATAATCGAATCTATATGCGAGTGCCATTTACAGTTTGACTGGAGGATTAAGCCGAGATATTTATGTTCGTGGACTTCTTTTAGAAGAATTTGACCATTCTGTAGGCATTATCACCACCTTAATCAAAAGAGGCAAAACCATTTGTGACCCCGAATCCCTCAACCTGGAAGTACAACACCTAAAAGATGTCATCATCCAACACAATGGCTATTCAGAACATACGATAAACAAGTCCATCAACGCCATATTATCCAACCTTTCAAAACTTGATAAACAAAAAAATGACACTCCCCCCCTAAAAAAAAAAAACCCGAGTGTTTATACCATTCCGCGGCAACATCTTCCACCAAATTAGAATGGTTTTTATACGCCCACATTTTCATGTGGACGTATATTGTCGTCGCCCCTGTCCGTCCGTCCATTGGCATGTATCGGACTGTAAATTCATGTATCATGGCCCCTGATTGTACGAAAAATCACGTTTTTAGCTTATGAAAACTGTAGAGGTCACAGATTTTATCCGATTTGGTTGAAACTTGAAACGTATGTTTATAACCCACATATCTCAATTCCTTTCGATATTCGCGCATATCGAACCATAACTTCCTGAATTATGGCCCCTGATTGTACGAAAAATCACGTTTTTAGCTTGTGGACCCCAAAGAGGTCACAATTTTTATCCGATTTAACAAACTGTTTGAATATATCACCGTTACATCCTAAGGATGGTTGAGTTCGAATTTCGTAAAAATCGGACCGAAACTGACAGACAAAATGGCCGCCCTTGAATAGTGTCACAATATTGTGTATCAGGGTTGTGGACCCTCTGGAGGTCACAATTTTCATTTGCTTTTGAAGAAACCTGAAATGCATGTTTATAACCAAAAGATCTTTGTTCCTGTCTATTTTCGTACAAATCGAATAATAACTTCCTGAATTATGGCCCCTGATCGTACGAAAAATCGCGTTTTTAGCTTGTGGTCCCTCTAGAGGTCACAATTGTTATCCGATTTAAAAAAAAAATGTGTGAATATATCACCATTACACACTAAGATCTTGATTCCTTTTGATAATCGCGGATACTCGAACTTAACTTCCTGGATTATGGCCCCTGATTGTTCGAAAAATCGCATTTTTAGCTTGCGGATTCTCTAGATGTCACAATTTTTTTCCGATTTTAAAAACCGTTTAAATACATCACCATTCCACCATAATGAATGTTGAATCGAAATGAAAGTGCCAGACAAAATGGCCGCTCTTTGTACGCAAATTGTGTAGAAGTGTGTAATACGAAGGTTGTGGGCCCTCTAGAGGTCACAATTTTTATCCGATTTTGATGAAACTTTAAACTATATCTTTATATCCCAAAGATCTGTCCCTTTTGATATTTGCACATTTCAGACCATAACTTTTTGGATTATTGCCCCTGATTGTACAAACCAGCGGCTGCCAGGCAGGATACGCCCACATTTTCGAGAGATGGATAGAGAACAAGCTAACAAGAAAGTGATTTTTCCTACAATCAAGGGCCATAATTCAGGAAATTACAGTTCGATATGCGCATATATCGAAAGGAACTGAGATCTTTGTGTTATAAACTTACATTTCAAGTTTCAACAAAATCGGATAACAATTGTGACCTCTATAGGGTCCACAACCTTGATATACCATATTTTTACGCTATTTGAGAACGAACGGCGGCCATTTTGTCTGTCAATTTTGGGCCGATTTTCACAAAATTCAAACTCAACTGTCCTTAGGGTGGAACGGTAATATAATAATACGGTTTTTTAAATCGGATAAAAATTATGACCTCTAATGGGTCCACAAGCTAAAAACATGATTACAATTAGATATGCGCGAATATCAAAAGGAACTGAGATCTTTGTGTTATAAACTTACATTTCAAGTTTCAACAAAATCGGATAAAAATTGTGACCTCTATAGGGTCCACAACCTTGATATACCATATTTTTACGCTATTTGAGATTGAACGACGGCCATTTTGTCTGTCAATTTTGGGCCGATTTTCATGAAATTCAAACTCAGTCGTCCTTAGGGTGTAACAGTGATATAATAATACGTTTTTTTTAAATCGGATAAAAATTATGACCTCTATAGGGTCCACAAGCTAAAAACGCGATTTTTCGTACAATCAGGGGCCATAATTCAGGAAATTACGGTCCGATATGCGCGAATATCGAAAGGAACCGAGATCTTTGGGTTATAGACTTACATTTCAAGTTTCAACAAAATCGGATAAAAATTGTGACCTCTATAGGGTTCACAACCTTGATATACCATTTTCTTTCGCTATTTGAGAACGAACGGCGGCCATTTTGTCTGTCAATTTTGGGCCGATTTTCACGAAATTCGAATTCAGTCGTCCCTAGGGTGTAACGGTGATATATTAATACTTTTTTTTAAATCGGGTAAAAATTATGACTTCTATAGGGTCCACAAGCTAAAAACGTGATTTTTCGTACAATCAGGGGTCATAATTAAGGAAGTTACGGTCCGATATGCACGCATATCGAGAGGAACCGAGATCTTTGGGTTATAAACTTACATTTCAAGTTTCAACAAAATCGGATAAAAATTGTGACCCCTATATGGTCCACAACCTTGATATACCATATTCTTACGCTATTTGGGAACGAATGGCGGCCATTTTGTCTGTCAATTTTGGGCCGATTTTCACAAAATTCAAACTCAACTGTCCTTAGGGTGGAACGGTAATATAATAATACGGTTTTTTAAATCGGATAAAAATTATGACCTCTAATGGGTCCACAAGCTAAAAACATGATTACAATTAGATATGCGCATATATCAAAAGGAACTGAGATCTTTGTGTTATAAACTTACATTTCAAGTTTCAACAAAATCGGATAAAAATTGTGACCTCTATAGGGTCCACAACCTTGATATACCATATTTTTACGCTATTTGAGATTGAACGACGGCCATTTTGTCTGTCAATTTTGGGCCGATTTTCACGAAATTCGAATTCAGTCGTCCCTAGGGTGTAACGGTGATATAATAATACGTTTTTTTAGATCGGGTAAAAATTATGACTTCTATAGGGTCCACAAGCTAAAAACGTGATTTTTCGTACAATCAGGGGTCATAATTAAGGAAGTTACGGTCCGATATGCACGAATATCGAAAGGAACCGAGATCTTTGGGTTATAAACTTACATTTCAAGTTTCAACAAAATCGGATAAAAATTGTGACCTCTATAGGGTCCACAACCTTGATATACCATATTCTTACGCTATTTGGGAACGAATGGCGGCCATTTTGTCTGTCAATTTTGGGCCGATTTTCACGAAATTCGAACTCAGTCATCCTTAGGGTGCAACGGTGATATAATAATACGTTTTTTTTAAATCGGGTAAAAATTATGACTTCTATAGGGTCCACAAGCTAAAAACGTGATTTTTCGTACAATCAGGGGTCATAATTAAGGAAGTTACTGTCCGATATGCACGAATATCGAAAAGAACCGAGATCTTTGGGTTATAAACTTACATTTCAAGTTTCAACAAAATTGGATAAAAATTGTGACCCCTATAGGGTCCACAACCTTGATATACCATATTCTTACGCTATTTGGGAACGAATGGCGGCCATTTTGTCTGTCAATTTTGGGCCGATTTTCACAAAATTCAAACTCAACTGTCCTTAGGGTGGAACGGTAATATAATAATACGGTTTTTTAAATCGGATAAAAATTATGACCTCTAATGGGTCCACAAGCTAAAAACATGATTACAATTAGATATGCGCATATATCAAAAGGAACTGAGATCTTTGTGTTATAAACTTACATTTCAAGTTTCAACAAAATCGGATAAAAATTGTGACCTCTATAGGGTCCACAACCTTGATATACCATATTTTTACGCTATTTGAGATTGAACGACGGCCATTTTGTCTGTCAATTTTGGGCCGATTTTCACGAAATTCGAATTCAGTCGTCCCTAGGGTGTAACGGTGATGTAATAATACGTTTTTTTAAATCGGGTAAAAATTATGACTTCTATAGGGTCC